AAATGTTTTTTTTTTTCCTTTTCGGGTCACACCCGGCGATGCTTAGGGGTTACTCCTGGCTCTGCACTCAGGAATTACTCCTGGCGGTGCTCAGGGGACCATATGGGATGCTGGGAATCAAACCCGGGTCAGCCCTACCCGCTGTGCTATCGTTCCAGCCACCCCAAAATGTTTAAGTAGTTGTAGGTATCAAATTATTTTTCAAATTAGAAATTAGTTTACTTATTTAAGTGAAAATATGAATTATAGTGGTGTACAGTGACTAGGGTGCTTTCATTGCCTGTGGCTGACCCAGGTTGGATCCCCGGCTTCCCATGTGGTTCCTGAACACTACCAGGAGTAATTCTGAGTGCAGAGCTGGCAGAAAGCCCTGAAGACCACCAGGTGTGGCCCAAACTCTGTCCTCCAAATATAATGTTGAAATACTTCTTTTTTAAAAAATAAGGGAAATGTTTTTTTCTTTTTTTAATGTAGGAGTATTGCTATTTATTCAGCCATTGTTTAGAAGGGAAATATTTTCTAATCACTGGTATTTTCAAGTCTTGTAGCAGACTTGAGTTTCTATGCCTCTGCAATATACCCAGACCCATATGTATGCTTAGTCCTAGAATTCATGACCCAAATTCTCAGAGGGTTGAAAAGTGTTCTTCCTCTATTTCTTGCAATCTCAAGGCTACTGGTCTCATTGATGTGTCTATTATTTACGTATTCACAAAAGGCAGCCTGTTTATGGTTCAGGTATAAAGTGTAATTAGAAGAAGCAAACATTTTAAACAAATATGGAATTTTTTTTTTTTGCACTACAGAATTTCTCAAATCGTGGTGTTAGTAGTGTTTAAAAAAATTTTTTTTAACCCAAGCACAAAAATTTGTAAGTCTACAACTGTACCTCATGGTGTCTCACTAATAAAATTTTTTTAAAAAAAGTATGCATACATAAAAAATAAAGCAATAACATTGGAATAAAAAAATAAAATTTTTTTTTAGCATAATGATGGGCTGGAGCGATAGCACAGTGGGGTAGGGCATTTGCCTTGCATGCGGCCAACATGGCCGGCCCGAGTTTGATTCCTCCGCCTCTCTCAGAGAGCCTGACAAGCTACCAAGAGTATCTCACCCGCACGGCAAAGCCTGGCAAACTCCCCGTGATGTATTTGATATGCCAAACACAGTAACAAGTCTCAAAATGGAGACGTTACTGGGCCTGCTCGAGCAAATCAATGAACAACGGGAGGAGAGTGAGTGACAGCATAATGATGATCACTGCACTGTAAAATTTTAGAAGATGCTTGGCATTTTTTCAAACAAGGCTTCAGTAATTAATTGTGAAATATTGACTCACATCAAACAAGAAAATGCAGCAAATTTTGCTGCAGTATAAGTAATTGGTCATATTATTGGCAAGGTATTGATTTTTTAATTTTGTCTTAACATTTTACTTATTTAGGCACTGTGATGTACAATACTGTTAGAGTTTCAGGCATACAGTGTTCAAGGACCACACCCTCCACCAAAATCTTTAAGTCCCTCTCATACCCCCAGCCCCCACACTTGGCAGACTCAGTTCTATGTGCCAATTATCAGGATCTGTTCCCTTTGGCCATTTGTTATTCCCTGACTGTGATTCTTTATAACCCCCACAGGAGAGACATAATTCTGCACATGTCCCTCTCCTGGCTGACTTCATGCAGTATGATACCCTCAAGTCCCATCCATGTCAAATTGCATGATTTCATCTTTTCTTTTATCTAATATTCCATTGTTTATATGTGCCATATCGTTATCCACTCATTTGTTCTTCGGCAATTGGGTTGTTTTCAAATCTAGGCTACTATTAATAGCTCTGTAAGGCACGTTCATTTTTGACTCAACCACTAGTGGAAAAACTTCGAGTGTAGGTTACCCAAGGACTGTGGAAGGGACCTTGAATAAAGGTCATTATGAATAGATTTGCCTTGGAGTTCACAACAAACTTTAAAAAGTCCATTGCAGACAGACTCAGGACAGGATCTCAGATTGGAGGCACACTGGGAATGTGTGGGAAGGAGAAGGAAAGGAAGAGGCTGGGATCAACCAAAATAGTTTTTGGGCTTCTGACTCCATTTTTTCTGCCTTCTCCTCAGAAATTTTTTTTTCTTTGCCTGCCAACCTGTCAAGTAGAAAGTGGATGGAGTAGGCAGGCAACTGCTTTTTAAATTTTTATTTATTTATTTTTTTGCTTTTTGGGTCACACCTGGCGATGCACAGGGGTTTCTCCTGGTTCATGCACTCAGGAATTACTCCTGGCGGTGCTCGGGGACCATATGGGATGCTGGGAATTGAACCCGGGTCGGCTGCATGCAAGGCAAACGCCCTACATCTATCGCTCCAGCTCCCAGCAACTGCTTTTTTAAAAAATGCAGCAGCTCTGTGAAGTCAAAAGACTCTCAGGCAGGAATTTGTTCTGTTGGATGGCTTTCTTTTGAACATTAAGCCAAGAAACAGAGACCTGGAGGTGGACCATGTTGAAACATGAAGTGTATTGGCAGGAATGAAGGTGCGAATGGGATGGGGTGGGTTGCAGATGCGGGGATAATAGATCACAGGGCACAAGGCATCTGGGGGAGGAGGGGACAAATGAGGACATGATGCAGAAAGGAGCGGATACACTGTGTCGCTTCCATATGATAGGTACTAAACAGGGAGGAAGTGGCCTTGCATTTCCTCTTACAGGCTGCTGTGCTTGGAACCATCTAGTGTAACAGACACTGTAACTTGATCATGAAGTAACTGAGTTGATTCTGAATTCACTTTGCAGTTTAGCATTGAGTACTATGTGAAAATACAATTTGAGGGTTTAATTATTATTTTTTAAACTCTATTTGCTTTTTGGCTACTGCATCACAACTGGCGGTACTCAAGTCTTACTCCTGGCTCTGTGCCCAGGGGACTATACTGTACGTGCTGCTGGAGACCAAACAGGGCTGATTGCCTGCTAGGCAAGCACCTTAATCCCTGTATTGTCTCTTTGGTCCTGCAGTTTGAATTTTAAATGGATTAGCAAGTGAACATTTGACAGCAACCCATTTATCATTTGAAGTTTATCCATATTAACCCGTCATAGCTTTTGACTCCTTTGAGACTTCATTTGCATTGGATGTATCTTTGAGAATTTTAGCTGTACCCACTGTTAGTCTTGTGACCATTTAATTTCTCATTGGATGCTTACAAAAGTGTACTGAAGGATAAAAAGAGAATGATGCATTCAAACCAGTTCTATCATTTGGCAATTCTCATACAAACCTTACTTTGTTGAAGAACACATCTTTTATTTATTTTTTATTATTTATTTAGCTTTTTGGGTCACACCTGGCAACGCACAGGGGTTACTCCTGGCTCTGTTCCCTTTGGCCATTTGTTATTCCCTGACTGTGATTCTTTATAACCCCCACAGGAGAGACATAATTCTGCACATGTCCCTCTCCTGGCTGACTTCATGCAGTATGATACCCTCAAGCCCCATCCATGTCAAATTGCATGATTTCATCTTTTCTTTTATCTAATATTCCATTGTTTATATGTGCCATATCGTTACTCCTGACAATGCTCGGGGGACCATATGGGATGCTGGGAATCGAACCCAGGTTGGCCCGCATACAAGGCAAATACCCTACCCTCTGTGCTATCACTCCAGCCCCAGAACAGATCTTTTAAAAAGATATTTTGATTATTTGGTTGGTTTCTGGACCACACCCAGGACGCTCACTGGCTATTCCTGGATCTGTGCTCAGGAATGACCCTGGAGAATGCATAATACTTAGGTATGCCCCAAGTACCTTATTTCCTGTACTATTCCTCTGGCCTAAGACAATTTGGTGGGTTTTTTGGTTTGTTTTTTGTTTTTTGCTTTTTGGGTCACACCCGGCGATGCACAGGGGTCCCTCCTGGCTCCGCACTCAGGAATCATTCCTGGTGGTGCTCAGGGGAGCATATGGGATGCTGGGAATCAAACCCAGGTTGGTCGCGTGCAAGGCTAACACCCTCCCCACTGTGCTATTGCTTCAGCCCTGACAATTTGGTTTTAATGATGTGTTTTTTTCCCTCTTTCCCCACTGACCCCCATTTCCATGACTAACCAAGTCACAGAAATCTCGCCATTGTTTGGCAAGAAGAGCACTTACGGGATCAGTGCACCATTTTGAGTCAAAGAGTAGCTGAATTGCACCAACTGCCGTCATTTCCCTGGTCCATTTTTGGGTTTCTGAGAATCCTTTCTGGGTTTCATGAGTGCCGTATGGCCAATGAACACAGTCTGAAAGAGTTAATTTAATTCTATAAGGCCAGAGTTTCTGTGTGTTCATTTCTATTACATCTCTGGCACTCCATGGGCACTGTGCTCACTGAAGTCAGCACTACAGTTTGATGCCATCTGCAGCCTTTTGGGCCTTTCCAGGTAAGTTCTGAAAGAATTCTTGGATCCAAGTGATAGTACAGTGGTAGGGCTCTGCTTATATGAGGCTGAACCAGGTTCGATTCCTGGCATCCCATATGCTTCTGGGAACACCACCGGGAGTGATTCCTAAGTGCGGAGTCAGGATGAACCCCTGAGCATGTGTGTCCCCAAAAGATAAAAAAGTTCTGAAAGAATTCTCAACAACTTGGCTGCTCATTGGAATCAGCTCTGAGGCTTCAAAAAATGAAACCTATGTCATAGTCCCAGCACTGATTTTCATGATGACCTGGGACTTAACGTTTTGTTTAGGGGCTCAGGGGACACTCCTGGTTCAGTGCTCAGGGGACCAGAGGGTGCCAGAGATCAAACTTGGGCAGTGATCCCAGGCCTCCAGTATGCAAAGAAAGAGCTCCAAGCCACTCACTGAGCTATCTCTTAGGCCTAGGAATTGATATTTCGAAGTTCCCTCTAGTAGATTCTAATTTGTAGTCACTGGAAATGAACCATTTGTGGACTCATTTCACTTGATACAAAAACATATGACTTACATAGAACTTTAAAGTTTAATACAGGTAACAAATATTTATTGAGAAACCTTGCTTTAATACAATCAATTCAACAGTTCAAATTTCAGGGGAAAAAAATGGGGTGGGGGGGTTTGCTTTATTTTGTGCTAACAGCGCCATCTAGTGTCCAAATAGAATATTTATCCTCTTCTGTTTAAAGCTAAACAAGAAGTTAAAAAATACTAAGAAAGGTAATACTAAAAAATACATGTAGACAAGACCATTCTTTCATAGGAAAACTAAGGTTTACAGAAATAGTTTCATGGGAAAAGTAAGATTTACATAAATAGATATGATGGGATTTGCAAGGTTGGAGAATCATTTTTGTAGTTATAAAGTGCTTTTTTGGTTACAAAGAGATTTCATTAGAGAAGCCAATACAGAAACAAAACATTTTGCAATACTTTTTTTTGTCTTGTTTTGGGGCCACACCCAGTACTCAGGACCTACTCCCAGCTCAGTATTCTTGGGTTGCTCTTGGAGGGGCCTGAGTGACTACACAGTGCCAGTAATAAAGACTGAGGACCATATTCATGCAAGGCAAATATTTTACGACATGCACTCTGAATGGCATTCATTGCAGGTTTCTATTTTTTTAGTATTTCTCCTGAATACATGAAAAAGGAAACTAAATATAATAATTCTGTTGAATAATTTACAGAAATTCTTTTTTTGTGTGTGGGGACCACATGGATATTCAGTTGGCGGTTGCTTCTAGTGGTGTTGGGGGGCCAAGTAGTCCCTGGTGGTGCTGAATCGAACCCTGGTCTTCTCCATACAAAGCCTGCACTTCACCACTGAGCTCTTTCTCTGGTACTGCAATTCTTATTTCTTGGATGTAACCCAAAGTATTTTGTTTTACTCAGAAATAAAATTGAAAATAATTAGGATGATTTTAGCTATGCAATGCAAGAGGAAGATTATTAGAAACTACTAGTTTTTTTTTTTTATAAAGAATAGACTTTTGTCTCAAAAAGTGACCATCTACATGGCTTATATCATGTTTCACCCATGAGATTGTAAGCACCCTGAGGAAAGGACTGTGTCTTTTTTCCTATCTCTGTGTCTCCTAAATCCTCTAGCATAACATTCTGGACACAGACGATTTTTTGAGTATGTGAGTTTAGTTTGACTTTTGTTGTTGTTGGGGCCAGAGCTGGTGGTGCCAGGGGGGAGGGATGCCAGGGCGGGGCTCAAACCCAGGGGCTTGCACATGCCAGGTCTGTGCTCTGCCTCTTGAGTACAGACAAAACATTTCTGGCCACAAATGAATTCATTTTTAGACGGGGCCTCCTGCCTTGAAATAAAGAGAGTTCCAGGGCTTCCTTTATAGTTACTATTGTTTGGCTCAGAGACCATATGAGCTCAGGCCTCAGGAAGTGGTACCAAGGTGCCTCCAATGTACTTCACCTGTGAGTCTGGAGGGACCTTCACTGTGGGAACCACTCTTAGGGCAAATTTTAATTTTCTTTTAGGGTCGCACCCGGCGAAGCACAGGAATTACTCCTGGCTCCTGCACTCAGGAATTGCTCCTGGCCGTACTCGGAATTGCTCCTGGCCGTGCTTGGGGGACCATATGGGATGCTGGGAATTGAACCCCGGTCGGCTGCATGCAAGGCAAACACCCTACCCGCTGTGCTATCGCTCTAACCCCACTTAGGGCAAATTTGGGGTGGTGAGTGAACTGTAGATTTCTCTCTATAGAATATAAGATTCATTCGCCCAGAAAATAGAAAATATTGAATATTTACTTTCTGGAAGCATTTTCCTAGGTATTGTGGGCATCATATGAATTTATGTCTAAAAATTCTTTGGAGAGGCAGGCTTGGAATTGGTGGAAGAGAATAAAGATTCATGTTTCCCCTTTCTTTCTTTCTTTCCTTTTTTTTTTCCTTTTTGGGTCACACCTGGCAACGCACAGGGGTTACTCCTGGCTCTGCACTCAGGAGTTACTCCTGCCAATGCTCGGGGGACCATATGGGATGCTGGGAATCGAACCCGGGTTGGCCGTGTGCAAGGCAAATGCCCTACCCGCCGTGCTATCGTACCAGCTCCTTTCCCCTTTCTTTACCCTGCCCCCATTAGCATCTTTCCTCCCTTTTTAAACACCTAATTTGATTATTGATTACACTTTAAGAAGCCAAGAGCTCTTCAAGTCCCCTTCTTCCTCAACCTCTGGGGCAAGTGGAAAACTATACCCTCCCATCACTTCTGCTCCTAGTTTGCATCTCTTCCTTTCTCACTGCCTTATACTATTCCAGACTTTTGGGCAGCAGGGGAGGAGCAGAAAGGTACATATTTTAGGGGCAGATAAAGAGGACTCTTGCCTATTATGCAGGTGACAATTAACACCCAGAGAGAAGTTCTTTCTTACTAGTTTATTAACAACCCTTCAGTTTTAGAATTTTGGGGTAAATAAGGAAGAAATCTCTCACCATAATATCCAAAAGAAAAGGGTGCAGACAAGCTGGCAGCGCCCTGTTTTGGCTACAGAATAAGTGTACTGTGCAATATTGAATGTTTCAATGAAGAAAATGTTGTTTTTCAATCTTAAACACAGTTGGCACCTCCTAAGGTTGACTCCATCTACCCTGGATAAGCAAATCGCAAGTGTTGACTTTCCTTCATCATGTGAGTTGTATGGTAGGATCTCGTACGGCTGAGTAGAAGCTGCTTTAACGAACCCACCAAGGCTACCGCCATCAGTAAATCCCGGAAGGTGATGGATCTCCCACCAACCCCCTTTGCATTGTTTGGTGAGTTCGTGAGGTTACTACTGATGCCTCCTGACCCAAGCTATTGGCCCTAATTCGCCTGGCCTAACCATTACTATCATAGCAGGGTGCTGGGGAACATGCTGGCTTTCCCCAAAGTAGGGATGGCAACTGTGCGACATCTTTGGTTCATCTGTATTGTTTTCTCACATTTTGGCTGGAATCTTTAAAAAAAAAAACAACAACTCTACATCTCTACATCTTTCTGGCAGCCAAGACGGCAAGAGTCCCCAGCTGACATACTTAAAGCACTCTTTTCTACTGGTCCAGCAGCACGGGAACTGACTCAAATCCAGTTGCTTGGAAACCACCTTGTTTGGACGTTGTGTCCCTTGCCACCACTCACCCCATTCCATCGCAGGCACCCAGACATCCTTAAAGTTCGTCACTCTCCACTACGCTCCGAGAAGAGCACGAGTACACTATTGTGTTTTCCATGGAGGAAAAGGCCGAGAAAATGTCAAGCCCTTTAGTGGTGAGAGATCCGTAGCGACTGCCGGTGGGCCGGATGGACATGGGTGGCGGGATCTGCTGATGCCACTGAGCTGAAAAGGAAGCAAACAAGGCGTGGTTGTCAGGGAAACAGTCAGGGATGCGCAGGAGCGTCAGGGATGTCAGGGATGTCAGGGATGCGCAGGAGCGTAACCCGGCTCCATTCCTGTCCTTGCTGTGGGTCCTGGGCGAAGCAGTGCAGTCCATTCGGGTCTGAGGTGCTTTACGTGCATGAGAGGGCAAGAGAGTCGCTCCTCCCTGTAAGAAGTAGAAGCACCGGGCTGCTGCTTTGGCTTTTTGTTTGTTTGCTTGTTGGTTTGTTAAGGAGCCATACCTGACTGCGCTCGGGACTTACTCCTGGTGGTCCATGGGGGACCACATCGGGTGCTTGTATGCAAGGCAAGCACCACACTCTCTGTCCTATCTCTCTAGCCCCCCGAACTGATGACTGATGATCTCTTAAGCCCCTAAATCTGAAGCCTAACATTTGAATCCAAAAAGATCTGAGCTTTTTTTTTTTTAAAGAATGTTATTTTGGTAGGACTACTCTATCCTTCATCTGATGGTAGAATTGGGCACTAAATCTTTGTGGAACAAATTAACCAATGAACAGGGCTGGCGAAATTCTGTTGGGCGGAAACAGGCAGTGGGAAGGGGGTTCCAGTGGGTGACCGGTGGCAGCATGGAGACTATACGCATACTGAATGCTCCGTTGTATAGCACACAAACAGTCTGAAGCAACTGTAGATCCCAGGCGAGAAGTCCTCTTTTTTTTGGCTACACCTGGTGGTGCTCCTGGGTTGCTCCTGGATTTTCACTCAGGAATTTTTCCTGGTGGTTCTAGAGGGACCATACCAGGTCTTCTATGTGCCAGGTAAATGCCCTACTCACTTGGGGCTCTGGCCCCAAGTCCTCTTTAGAAGGTGATGCTCATTGTAAAATACAAAAGTATTAAGGTGACTAGGATAAAATGTCTTTTAAAATCTCCTAAGCCCTGAAATGCAATCAAATCAATTCATTTATGGAAACATACCACACCTAGCCTTGTATTAAAAAAATTCTCTCTTTGGGGTGGGAGGCAAACCTGGCAGGGCTCAGAACTTAGTCTGGCTCTGTGCTCATGGGGGTACTGTATGATGTGTTAGGGACTGAACCTGGTTGGCTGCGTGCAAAGAAAACACCCCAGCTGCTGTACTACTGCTTTGCTCCCTAAAGAGAATGTTTCTAAACGGTCTATCACAGGCTGACGTTCAATGAGACCATGACAATACCGTAGATATCCAGCCTCGCAGTGCAGGACACGATGCCGGCTTCATTCTTGGCTGACAGTGTATACCAGCCTGCGTCTGATTTCTTCGCTGGCTGAATGAAGAGGCAGACGTAACCTGTTGCATCCTGGTGCATACTGGAAAAAAGAAAGAACAGAGGTGTACTGTTTCTGGGAGCAGAAAGGGCTTATTTACAAAACCTCCTGGGGCAGCTCTGTGCTTGCTCTGATCTCTCACCCTGACCCTAAGGAGAAGGAAGTGGGGCTCAGTTGAAAGTGAGATGCAGAGGCCACTAGGGCAGCTGAGACCTGTTCTTGCCTTCCCCTGTCCCCTCTTGAAGTTGGAATTCTCACCACTGGTACTTAAAATGGTTACACCCAAGGTCTATTGAAAACTCCTGGCAATGCTCAGGGGTTACTCCTGGCTCTGCACTCAAGAATTACTCCTGGTGGTGCTTGGGGGACCGTCTGGGATGCCAGGGATCAAACCTGGGTCAGCTGCACGCAAGGCAAGCTCTCTACCCACTGTACGATTGCTCCGGCCCTAGGAAATTCTTGAAAAACAAACATAGGGGCTGGAACGAGAGCACAGCAAGCAAGGCATTTGCCTTGTATACGTGGCTGACCCGGGTTTGATTTCCAGCATCTCATAGGGTCCCCCAAGCACCGCCAGAAGTAATTCCTGAGGGCATGAGCCAGGAGTAACCCCTGTGCAATGCCGGGCATGACCCAAAAAGGAAAAAAAAAAAAACAAAACTGCAGATGAATGTCCAAAGACAGACGGACTGTTTGCTCCAACTGTTGTTTCCGAATGTAGTGAGACATGCATGTCAGTCACCACAATGTGCAAATCAACATGCTTCTTCCTTCTGTTTTCCTCTATAATACTTCTCAAATTTGGATGCATATGCAACCATGGATAATTGGAATTTTAGGCTGGGTTTGATTTGGTACATTCATTTAGACTTAAACATTAACTCCAGAATATTCTGGTATAACTTACATTGTACCCATACACTTCCTGGATGCTAATAATTTTTTCAAACTTATCAGCTACAAGTTTTCCAGGACAAATTCAGTTTACTGTGAATCACTTTTGGCAGACATTTTTGTACGCAAACTAAATTTTGCTTACTTAATCTTTTATGGCCTGGAGCGATAGCACAGCGGGTAAGGCATTTGCCTTGCACACAGTCAACATGGCCAACCTGAGTTCGGTTCCTCTGCCCCTCTCGGAGAGCCCGGCAAGCTACCGAAAGTATCTCGCCCGCACGGCAAAGCCTGGCAAGCTACCCGTGGCGTATTCGATATGCCAAACACAGTAACAACAAGTCTCACAATGGAGACGTTACTGGGCTCGCTCGAGCAAATTGATGGACAACGGGAGGACAGTGACAATCTCTTATGGCATACAGCTAAAATAGGCCAGGAATAGCTCAACAAACCAAGTTCATGCTTTGCACACAGGAGCCCTGAGTTGAACTCTGGCACTGCAGGGTCCTCCAAGCATGCTCCGGAGCAGTGCCGGAGCACTGAGTCAGGGTAGTAGCCCCTGAGCACCTCTGGTTATGCTGCTCCCTCATAAAGAACAGGGGCCAGAGAGATAGTACAGCAGATAAAGTGTTTGTCTTGTATATGGCCAATGTGGGTTTGCTCCCCAGCACCCCAAACAGTCCCCTGATCCCTGCCAGGGGGGATCCCTGAGCTCCACTGGGTCTATGGCCAGAAGGAAAAACAAACAAAAAAACCCCAAACACACAAACGGAAGTATACCTTCGAATATCCCCAAAGAGCAAAGAATGGTGAGGGGAAGTCAAACAAGGCACCGCTTTGAGGATTGGGTTCTGCTCTGGGAAACTAGCTTCGCAGTAAGCACTTGCCTTGCACTTGTCAGGCTCTGGGATTGATCCCCAGGACAAAACACAAATAAGAAAGTAGAGCTTAGAGCTACTTAAAAAACAACCAAATAGTGATAAATAGAGAAAGTGTATCACTGCCTTAATGTTTTGTTTTCTCTTATTTTAGGTCTTTATTGTGAAAGTAGATTTTTTAAAATGTTAATATGACTGAGAAAATATGCAGGATCTTTATAAGTGTCATATATATACATATATATATATATATTTGGGGGGCCACACCTGGCGATGCTCAGGGGTTACTCCTGGCTCTGAACTCAGGAATCACTCCTGGCGGTGCTCGGGGGACCAGATGGGACTGGGAATCGAACCCGGGTCAGCCGCATGCAAGGCAGATGCCCTACCCGCTGTGCTATCGCTCCAACCCCAAATGTCATATATTTTTAACTTGAAATTTTAGTGTGGTTTTTTTTTTTGGCTTTTTTTGGGGGGATCATATCTGGCGATGCACAGGGGTTTCTCCTGGCTCTTCACTCAGGAATTACTCCTGGCAGTGCTTGGGTGACTATATGGGATGGTGGGGACTGAACCTGGGACGGTTGCGTGCAAGGCAAAAACCCTACCCACTGTGCTATTGTTCCAATCCCTTGGGGATCTTTTTGGATTGCTTTTCTGGGAGAGCATGTTTGGTGGTGCTCAGGAGATACTTCTGGTTTAGTGCCCTGAAGTCATTCCCCAAACTGCTCAGGGAACCATGTGGTCCTGGGAATTGAACCTAGGACCTCACTCATGTGAAGCAAATGTTCTTCCACTGAGTCATGTCCCCAGGCCTCAAAATTAAGGCTTTAATGTGTGCCTTGGGTTTGATCCCTAATGTCCGCAGGGGAAAAAAACATTAAGGTTTTAAAACTGTGGTGTATAAGGCTAAGTGTTTAAGTCTCACCACCATGCTGAGACCACTCTCCGCACACATGAAGGTACTGGCAGAGGGACAAAGCCACGCGGGTTCCGGGGCCGAGACCTCCAAGCCTACTCGGATTGGAGTCGAGCATCCTCCACCCAGATCCTCCAAATTCCAGTAGGCGGGGGTCACACCCACCACCTGGCCCCCTGGCGCCGTGTAATCCCATCAACGGCCAAGACTCAGAGACTATAAAATCCAGCTCCCGGACGAGAACCGTGCAGTCTGCCCCCGCGCCTGGCCGTTCCTCACTGGAGCCCGTTGGAGGGGAGCGGGTTGAGCTTTCCTCCCCGCCCCGACCAGGGCTCCGGCAGCCGAAGACCTCCAGGACCAGCCACCACCATGCTGAGACCACTCTCCGCACACATGAAGGTACTGGCAGAGGGACAAAGCCACGCGGGTTCCGGGGCCGAGACCTCCAAGCCTACTCGGATTGGAGTCGAGCATCTTCCATCCAGATCCTCCAAATTCCAGCAGGCGGGGGTCACACCCACCACCTGGCCCCCTGGCGCCGTGTAATCCCATCAGCGGCCAAGACTCAGAGACTATAAAATCCAGCTCCCGGAACCGCGCGGCCGCGCGACATCTTATCAAAACTTTTCTCTATGACATCTTATTATCTCATTCCTACTTTGGACAAACTTGCAGGCTATCGAACGTAGCCTGCCCACAGGGCAGAGTCTGGCAAACTCCCCGTGGCGTACCAAATATGCCAAATACCAGTAACAATGATGGGTCTCATTCTCCTAAAGAGCCGTGAATATAATCTCAGGGCTAGGATGAAAGAGACGTTACTGGGGCCTGCTCGAGGCAATCGACGATTAACAGGATGATGAAATGAAATGAAATAAGGCTAGAAAGATAGTACAGGAAGTAAGAAGTTTGCCTTATCTGCAGTCAGCTTCAGTTGGATCCTGGGACCACATATGATCCCTTAAGGACTGCCAAGGGTCACTCCTAAGCACAGAGCCAGGAATAGCCCCTGAGCATAGCCAGGTGTGACCCCAACATTCCCCGAACCCCCAGTCTCCCAACTCCCTCCCCCCCAAAAAAAAGCAAAATAACTGCAGGCTATTTGTAGACTGTACCACCCTAAGGAATGAAAAGGAATAACTTTGACCCTACATCCCCATACCGTGGAGGAAACTCACTTGCCACGTTATGCTAAGTGAGAGAAGCCAGATTCAGAGGTTCCCAACTTAATTTGGGCGATGCAATAATCTGCTGAGCCCAGGAGGGTGTACCTGACTCTCTCTCTGGTGAACGGGATGGTCTCATTGTCCTTCTTCCAGAAGAACACGGGCGGCGGCATGCCAATCACGCGGCATTCCAGCCTCACGGGGTGGCCTTCGGGAACGCCGCAGTTCTGCAGCTTCTCCAGAATCACCGGCGCTTTCTTTACTTCTCTGGCTGTGGGGAGAGAACAGCCGTTCTGGTTGAGTCGTAATCCCCCCTGGGTTCTTGCCTTTAACTCATCGCCGCTCTGGAGTTTAGCAGAGCAGGCACTGGGCGCACCTCCTCTTCAGGTACTTGTTCGGCTTCAAAATCAAAACCACTGGCTCAACAGAAGCTCCCCAAGCTACTTCTAGACTTCAGTAATTACAAAAGAAGCAAGGAAAGTGACTTTATATCCTTTTAAAAAAATATGGGTCTAGGGGCTGGAGAGACAGGACAGTGGGTAAGGCACTGGCACTTTGCAAATGCCAAGCGGTTTGATCCCAGGCACTTCCTGTGATCCTCTGAGCACTGCTAAGAATGATTGTGAGCACAGACTCGGGAGTGAGCTCTGAACACAGCTCGGCGTGGCCCTGAACGCAGTTCGGCGTGGCCCCTCAACGAAACAAAACAGAAAGAAAATTTTTTTTAAAAAAAAGGAGTCTCAGGGCTGGAGCCATAGCACAGCGGGTAGGGCATCTGCCTTGCATGCGGCTGACCCGGGTTCAAATCCCAGCATCCCATATGGTCACCTGAGTACCTCCAGGAGTAATTCCTGAGTGCAGAGCCAGGAGTAACCCCTGAGCATCGCTGGGTGTCACCCCCCCAAAAAAAATAAAATACAAAAGGAGTCTCACCAACACTGCTAGGAAGGAGAGGGGAATCCAGGCCATGCAGTCCGGGCCTGAGGGTTTGGTTCAGGCTCTCTAGCCAGGTGTCGGCAGGGACACACCTGGTGGCATTCCAGGGCTACTTTGGTGGTAGGGATTGAACCCCTGAGACCACTCTGCAGGTCCATCTGCGTATCTCAGGAGAGACAGCCCCGAAGGGCCTGGGTGACACAGGTGGGATGCAAATGGGGAGGGATTAAAGAACTTTCTGTTCTTAGGGGCTGGAGCGATAGAACAGTGGGGTACAGTGGGTAGGGCGTTTGTCTTGCAGGCGGCCGGCCTGGCTTTGATCCCCTGCATTCCATATAGTCCCCCGAGCACTGCCATCGTTGGGTGTGACTCAAAAAGCCAAAAAAAAAGGGGAAATTTTTGTTTTCACTTTTTGGTTTCTGGGTCACACCTGGAGGTGCTTAGGGATCTTCCTGGCCATGCTGAATAGAGAGGGCACTCCAGCCAGTGCTCAGGAAAACAGTGGCAGGAATTGAATCCAGGCATATATGTATATTATATTTCTCCCTATGTGTGCAAAATAAAGAAAATTCTATTGAAAGGGTGAACTTGGACTTCTGTGGAGAAGTAAAAGGGATTATGTGGTACGTGGTTTGACCTTTTATTTGTTTTTTGGCCACACTTGATGGTACTCGGGGATCACTCCTGGCGGGGCATGGGGAATGAGATGGGATGCTGGATCAAACCTGGTTTGGCTATGTGCAAGGCAAGTGCCCTACCCACTGTACCCAAGTACCCTACAGTCTGGCCCCAGTAAGAGGACTTGTGTACCCCAAATTGTGAAGTGTGTGAACTCATCACCTATCTTTTTTTCTTTTTTACTGGAAAAGAAGAGAATAGAATATTAATAGAAGAGATTAATTAATTCTACTTTTTATTTTGAATTTTTGAATAGCTATAGAAAAGTCTAAAAGAAATATACTCTTTATAAAAAAAACCACAAAGCAGGTTAGAAGTTGTTTTATTTCTTGTTTCTCACCTGGGACCAATTAAGGCAAAGACTTCAGAATCCCAGGATTCTGAAATCAGTATTTTAGTGAAATAGGCACGTGAGGGTGAAAGTCTGCAATCAAAAGTATGCTTGCAGAGTAAGCTTTACTAGTCTGTTGATAAGAATTTAAGAATAAGAAAAAAGAGAAAGATATACTGGGGGAATAGTCACTAGTCTAAAGAGAGAATTAGCTGCTCTCGCAATCCTGATATCCTTCAAGGGCCACCCTCGGGCACAGCGGGAGAAAACCGAGTACTTGAATTTGTACATCCTGATGCTTAACTTGGCTGGACTTTCCCAAAGGACTGGCACATTCTGAGTGCTAAAGATTGGTCTTACCTGTAGGTTCCACTCGTTTTGTTCACATTATCTTATACGAGAAAGGTTTGCGGGTTCGGTCACTGTTTTAGCATTGATGAAGCACCTCCCGTGACCCAGGTGGTGAGTCAGACAGCAGAGATGCACAGAACAAGTCAGAATCTCTCCCTTTAGAAACTCAGAGTCTCCTCATGGAGGCTGGAGAGTAAACAACTCCACAGAAGACTGAAGTGCCTAAAAGTCTCTCCTTTGTGGAGTGCCATGGAAATAGAGGAGGATGTGTCTGGTGGAAGTGCCGTGTCATGCTGGGGCATTTGAATTCAACCGTAGAGAATGAATATCAGCTTTCTAGGCCAACAAGGGCCATTTGGGAAGAGATGTTAAAGCACAGAAGCTTGCCTGGGCATAAAGGAAGAGCTTGTGTACTATAGAATGGGTGAACTGTAGGGAAGTGACCTCAATTTAGTGATAATTAATTGATGAATTGAATCACTATTACAAGGATCTCCATTTATTGTTTGTATTATATACACACCATGCTATGTTTTTAACTCACCAATATTTGGTTGTAAGCAGTAAAGAAAATAAGGTCCTCACTCAAGTGAGGAGAAACCACGGGTGGACTTGGTGTGGTTACAGGACTGGGAACTCAGGTCAAAGTTCTGCATATTTGGGGCTGGAGCAATAGCATAGCAGGTAGGGCATTTGCCTTACCAGCCAACCTGGGCTTGATTCCCAGCATCCCATATGGTCCCCTGAGCACTGCCAGGAGTGATTCCTGAGTGCAGAACCGGGAATAACCCCTGTGCATCGCTGGATGTAGCACAAAAATTTAAAAAAACCCCCAAAGTTCTGCATATTTGGACAATGACTTTGGCGGGGATTATGCTTAGGGGTTCCAGTTTCAAAGCTTACCCACTACAGTGAGCTCCAGACTAAAGGAATTCTGCCCAGTTTTGTTGGTGGCAACACAAGTGTAGGTCCCCGCATCGCGCTGAGTGAGTGGGTCAATGAGCAGAGAGTGGACTCCAGTTTCCCTGACGAGCATCTTGTGGGAGGCATCTGGAAGCACGGGGTGGCCATTGAGCAGCCAGGTCAAGTCCGGGGGTGGTAAGCCGCTCACCTGACAAACAAGAGGACAAGTGAGGCCAGTGACAGGCAGGTTCACTGGGGGCTGAGTTCTCCATCCTTATCTGGCACCAAGCAGAAAGAGAAAACACAGGACGTGGAGAAGCCTTTCTGTAGTGGATCAGGGCAAGAGGGGTCTGGATCGATGGTCTCATGAACTTAAATTGTTTAGTGTATGGAACCGAAGAGATAGTACAGCGGGGGAGGACGCTTTCCTTGCATGTGGTCAAACCAGGCTTGAAGTCTGGCACCAGGCCCTGAGCATAACCAGGTATAATTCAACATTCCCTCCTCCCCAAATTGTAACTTGACCCTAATTCAGTCACAATGATCTGCTAGATTAGAATAACTAAGGATTAAATATAAGATAGGTGAACGAGATCTGCAGCATTCACTTCAGAAATATTATGTTACTTTTCATACCTGAGAAGTAAGAGGTCACCGGAAGAAAGGGAAAGCGTGACGAGTTTGAAAACACTGGTTATATAATTTCTCTTTCTTTCTTTCTTTCTTTCTTTCTTTCTTTCTTTCTTTCTTTCTTTCTTTTCTCTTCCCCCCCCACCTTTTTGGTGACCTCTTCTTAGGTATGTAAGCAATATTTAAGAGAATTTAGTCACCTTGAAATTACAAAGTTTTTGCATGATTGAATTTCAGGCGTACAGTATTTCAACACCAACCTCTTCATCAGTATCCACGTCCGTCTACCAATTGCCTCCCTCCATCCCCCATTTGCTTCCCACCTGGCTTTTATGAGAGACACTTAAAAAATATATGTATATACATAGATATATATATTTCTGCAATGTGATTTCCAGTACTGTCGTTGAAAGGGTTTTGAACATAACTCTTCAGCTCTTTCAGCATCACCTCTTCCTCCCAGTTGAACGCTTCCCTCCACCAGAGATGTTGCCCCCTCCCCATTCAGCACCCTCCAAAACAGACAAACCCCAAATCCTTCATCAAGCAAGCAAGCAAGCAAACAAACAAACACATAGAAAATATAGCAGGTCTGGAACCAGAATGGCTGCGAGTCTACCTTACAGTCCAGCCGACAGAGGCGTCCTTCATGAGCTACCATGTCCCCAGGCGCCTGCAGGAAGTGGGGTCTGAAAAAGCGTTCCTGAAGGGGTTCTTTGTCTCTTTCTTGCCCCCGGGATCTTCCTCTAAAACAACAAACATGCTCTGGCATTAAACAGAGAAACGGTTTACAGAACTTCAGTGATAGGCATGGGGTTGTGGCTATCAGAGGCTGGAGAACGTGGGCTTGGGGGCGGGGCCGAAAAGGGCAGTTGCTGGACCACAAATAGTGGACAGTAGCATGCAGCTGCTGTCCAAAGCATAGTAGTAAGTAAGCATTCCATACTGTAGACTTCTCTTGCATAATGGCCATCAGATAAAAGGTTTCTCCCCACCAAATAAAGGGTGTTTGGAGGACCCTCCCAGGAGGGGAGATGCATGTTGAAAGTAGACTATGGACTGAACATGTTTGCCACTCAATGCCTCTTTTGCAGACCACAACACCCAAAAGGAGAGAGAGAACACAAGGGATTGCCCTGCCACAGAGACAGGGTAGGATAGGGGGGATGGGGGTGAGAGGGATATTATCCATGGTGGTGGAAAATGGGCACTGGTGGAGGGATGGGTATTTGATCATGGTATAATCGAAACCCAGCACAAAAAATTGTAAATCTACAACTGTACCTCATGATGTTTCACTAATAAGTAAAGTAAAGTAAAGTAAAGGCCCTCCCGTTGATCATCGATTTGCTCGAGCGGGCCCAGTAACGTCTCCATTGGAGACTTTGTTGTTACTGTGTCTGGCATATCGAATAAAAATTTAAAAAAAAAAAGGTTTCTCCCGACTGGACTGTTAGTATAGACCAACCGGGGTCAAATTCCTGGCACCCCATATGATCCCTTGAGCCCCGCCAGGAGTGATCCTTGAACACAGATCAGGAGCAAGACCTGAACACCATCAGGTATGGTCTGAAAACTCAAAACCAAAACAACCCCAAACAGAAAACAAACAATAAATGCGAACTCTATTGAAAACATGTTCCCTAAACTAGAATAATTTTTAGAACTAAAAAATAAAAATGAGTTGGGTGCTATAAGACGATGGCTTTTCAAACTTCATGTTGTTATGACTCAGGGGTGCTGGGAGATAAGTATGGCAGGTAACTGTACTTGGGGTTTGATGCCCAGTACCACATGATCCCCCAAGACCCCAGCACTGTGGAGGTGGCCCAGGGTTCTCTGGCACTGCAGGGCTGAGCAGCGTCCCATCCTCGGGCCCTGGTACTAAACCAACAGTCAACTGGCACCCTGGACCTCCTGAGCACTGCTTGGGAGCATCTCTCAAAAAGGTAAAATATATATATTCTGGGGCCAGAGAGATAACACAGGAGATAAAGTACCTATCTTGAATGTGGCCAACTCCAGTTCAATTCCTGGCACCTCATCTGATCCCCTGAGCAGTGCCCAAGGTCACTCCTGAGCACAGAGCCAGGAATAGTTCCTGAGAACTGCTGTGTGTGGTTCAAAGTCCTCCCCCTAGTCATAAAATATAGAATCTGATTCAGAAAGTTTACATTGGGGCTTGGCGTTGTGCCCTGGAACAGGTTCTCTGGTGATGCCAATGACACAGAGCGTGACTGTGCTTTCAGCAACACTGCTGTAGCTGACACTCTGGTGGGGGGACTTGGGAGCAGGTCAGGAAGGAGATTCTTATTCTTCTCATTCTTACCTGTGAGACTGACCATCAGCTGTGAGCCGACTGCGAATGGGCAAACTCTGTACCATTAAGTGGCCAGAACAGCTGATTCTCCCCTGAGAAACAGAAAATAAAGATTAAAATAAGGAGGAAAATATCGCATTATTTTTTCAATTTACATAAACTTCTGGATAAGAACATTATGAGCCTTTTGATTATTATAAGGTTATCTTTTTTGTTTTCAGGGAGAGGGAACTATATTTAAAAATACATATAAAAGGACTCAAATTATTTTAAATATTTCAGGGGGAGGGAATTTTAAGACTCCCATGACTTGTTTGCTTCTTTCTTTTTTCTGTATGCATGTGGACACACCCTACTGTGCTCGGGGACTTGGGGGCAGGATCCAAATCACAGATGCATGGCAAATACTCTACCATTGAGTCACATCCCTGGCCCACGACTTTCATTTTGAGATACAAATGAACAGAACACAACATAGAGAAATATGAATTCTTGCCCATGAAGCATAATCTGCTGCCACATAGCAAAAGTAAAGATACATAGCTTTATACTTTTTTCAATAGAGGTTCTCTTCAAAACTAACATTTTAATAGAATAATAGGAAATGAGAATAGAAACAACAGGTTTGTTCTCCCTATTCTATTAGTAGTTGGAGGTCTTTATTATGTTATGTTTTATGTTTTTATGTTATGTTATTATGTTATGTAATTATTGATCTCATTCAGAAAAAGATTCTAGCTTTTCCATTTCTGCTTTTTTTGGGGGGGGAGAGGGGCAACACCCAGCAGTGCTGGGGGCCCTGTGGTGCTAGGGATGGAATGCGGATAACTCAAAGGCTTAGCATGTACATTCGTTTTTCAATTTTACCCCATGGCTTTTCAAATTTACCCCTCCCGCCAAATGACATTATAAGCGTTATGGCTATTCATAAGCCTTTACAAAGAATTTGTTCTAAAAACCGAAACTAACAAACTATTCTTTGACAGAATGATTTTGAACTTTTCTTTGTTTGGGCCACACCCAGCATTGCTCATGGGTTACTCTCGACTCTGTACTCAGGGGTCACTCCTGGCCGGCCCCATTCAAGATAAATGCCCTACCTGCTGTACTATTAGTCCGGGCCCCTATTGACTTTTTTGAGAGAATGAAAAACACAAGATTGAGCTCAATAGTATAGGATATAAATACAGAGAACAGATACTACAGTGTTCTTTGACAAAAGGGTTGAGAGACAGATCCATCATCAGCTAGTTGACGTGTTAAGTTGTAATAATGTGCTCTGATTATGCATAATCGCAATGCGGCTCATTAATTTTCCTCATCAATTCTCAAGGTTTCGTTCACACTGACATCAACCACGCATCCTCTGGTGTGGCACCATGAGGAATCTGAAGTTTCTACCTGGGGGTTGGCAGCCATGATGGTATAGTTGCCGTCATCATCACCCGTGGTGGACTCAATATGTAGCAAACACGTCCCATCTCCCTCACGCCTCATTTTGCAGTGCTCATTTCTCTTTGAAATCTGTTTCCCATCTTTGAACCAGTAAACCTGGAATGAAAGATAACCAAGGAGAATGTACACAGTTCTGTACCGGTTTAGAGGATTGTGAAATAAGGAGCTGAGTGAGGCCAGGGTGTGCTGTTACCTCTGCTAGGGACCCATTTCCTGTAAAGCACTTAGCAAAAAACAGAAAGCATCTGAAGAATAGTTCAGTAGGGATGGAGAGCAAGTACAGTTGTCAAGGTGCATGCCCTTCATGCAGCAGACTGTGATTGGGTCCAAGGCCCACACCGTCCTCTGAACATCACTGAATGCACCCCGGGAGGTCCCCAAGCACTGCCAGGGTGGCCTGGGTCATCCCTGGCACCACAGTGACTGAGCAGCACCATGTCCTTCGGCCCTTGCATTGAACCAGGGGCTTGGTTGACTGAGAGACCCTTGGGCCTCCAGAGTGCCACTTGGAGACCATTAAAACAAGAAGAAAACAAAAGGAAAAGTAGTATAAGATACTGTTTCAATTGTACATATACCAGGCTTAGTAAAAATATTCCATCTAATCTAGCTTTTGACTCCTCTTTGAGTGGATGATTTCTTTAAAAATTTTTTTTTAAGATCTGAAAAAATTTTAAGTTTAGGTATTATAATCTAGGAAGTTACAACAATGTTAAAATTTATGGTATCGAGATACACTTACCCTCCCCCATACCACCAAAGTGCCCAGGACCCTCCACCACTGTCCTTGGTCTCTCTCTGTCCGTCTCTTCACCACCTCTCTCTCCTCGCTGTGGTAGCCATTCGGGTTCCGTATTCCAACGCTAATGGCATGTTGTTGATGTTTTTGTTTTGGCTCTCTGTATGCCCCAGATGAGTGAGACCATCCTGTGTATGTCCTCTGACTTATTTTGTTTCAGATGATACCTTCCAGTTCCATCCATGATGCAGCAAATTGCTTGATTTCATCTTTTTTTACAGACTACATTTTTTTTCAGCTTTCTAGGTCACACCCTACAATGCACAGGGGTTAGTCCTGGCTCTGAACTCAGGAGTTCCTCCTTGCTGTGCTCAGGGGACCATATGGGATGCTGGGAATCGAACCCCGGTTGGCCGCTTGCAAGGCAAATGCCCTACCTGCTGTGCTATCACTCCAGCCCCTAAACTACTTTTGTAAATAAATAAAATTTTTATTTTCAAAGAGTTGTCCACAGTAATTGATTACATTCAATATTTCAACACTAGTCCCACCAACATTACATCTTCCAACACCTTAATTTCGAGTTTTACCACCATCACCCAAGCCTGCTCCAAAGGCAGATGCTAAAATGCTCAATAATTTATTTTGTATTGCTTGCTATGAATAATTGACTAAAAATTATCTACAAAAGGTTCCTTAGAGGAAAATGTGTGAAAATTGTTGCATCTCATCTTGGAGCCATTAAGACCCCATACCAGAGATCATTAACATGTTGTTAGAGTTTGAGTCTTGTGTGCTTTTACATATATATATATGTATATATGTATATGTGTGTGTATTTTATCAAGATTGATTGCTTACAGACTATTTTTTTTATCAAAATTCATAATTACTTTTTTTTTGGGGGGACACACTTCCCTGCACCAGTGTCCCCAGATTCCCTCCCCATCTCAATCTCCACTCCACCCCCACCTGTCAACTTGACAGGCATATTACAAAGTTCCAATGGATGCTGCTTAGATCTGATGTTTTCAGTTCTGTTGAATTTGTGTTTTGGGGATATGGCTGTACCCCCTCACTCATCACTGGGGTAACTGAAGCCCTTGATGCCTGTTAACCTATTACTTCCTGTTCTTTTTCCTTCCCTGTTGGGAGTTCTTTCTGGTGTTTTGGACTTATTCCTGGCTCTGTGCTCAGAGATCACTCCTGACAGGTTCAGGAACCCATCTGGAATTCTGGGATTCAAGCTCGGGTTGGCTGGATGCAACGCAAGTGTCTTATCTGCTACATACTGTACTATCTCTCCAGTCCTGAACTTCATGATTACTTAAAAACTAATCTAAGAACCAGACCTGTTTTCAAAGGAGAAATAATAAAAACCAAGAGCCTGAATTTTCCCCCATTATTCTATCAGCAAGCTCATCTCCGCTGCAAAGGACTGTAATTGCTTGCCTTGCTTGAGAGGATAATGTGGTTTATTATCCCAAGTGGAAAGAGGCCAGGACTCATCCACTAAATTTCTTATCTGACTAACACATGCATACATATATACAATACATGCATAGAAGGTAAAGTTCTGCATGTATGAAGGAGATCGGTCAAAGATGAGGGGTGGTAGGTAAAGGACAGGTGTAATCATCCTCCTCCTACTTGTTGGTTACCTAACCATGTGTAATAATATCATGTTAATGAAAGTAGAGTTGAGAGACCCATGTTGCAGCTGTACCAGGTATAAATCCTTCTCTCAGTTTACTGCCAAGAAATCTGGTGACTCAGGAGCAGCTAGTGATAACAGCATGACTTTCCTAGCATTTACCAATCTAATAATAATGATTCAGATATGACACACTGGGTATAATTTTTATGGCTAGAAAATGAATAACCCAAATGGGTGAGTTCATGACTAAGAAATCTATTGTTTTGTTTTTCAACTACCCCCTGTGGTGCTCAGGGGCTACTTTTTTTTTTTATAATTTATTTATTGAATCACCATGAGAGCAGTTACAAAGCATTTGGATTTAAGTCTCAGTCATACAATGAAACACCCGTACCTTCACCAGTGCCCATTCTCCACCACCAAAAACCCCAGTATACCCCCATCCCACACCCTCCCCCTGCCTGTGGGGCAGATGATTTTCATTTTACTCTCTCTCCACTTTGATTTCATTCATTATTTCGACCCCAGACCCACCATTATTATTTGGGATTTTACCCAGCACTCAGATCCGCCGAAAAGGCAACAGTAGACAATTTGTTTTCTATTGATGATAATGAATAATATATGATGTCACGTGGCCACAGTAGTAGCCGCAGGATTTTGGAATTCCAAAATTTTAACAAAAAAATCTTGAGGGATTTCTGTCAAAACCTGCTGGGTTCTGAGATTTGTTCCTGAGTCTCTGGGATCATCGGAGTTAAGCAGCTTGATCAGGAGCCAGAGAGGCCGTTCATGGGCGGTGACTTGGAGTCTCGTTGGGGCGGGGAGGAAAAGGCTGGCTCCACCCCCCATCCCATGAGGCGCCTGGTGTCTCGTCACTGCAGGCCCAAACCTGACTGTCCAATGGCCTCTCGAGAATGACAGCCATCGAGTCGCCAGGGGAAACAGGCCAAGGCACGAAACCTATTCCCACCTGGGGTGGCTCGGTGCCGGTAACCTACTGCGGGGACCAGACACATTTCTGCCCAAAGCCGCTGGTTTCTGAGATTTGTTTCTGAGTCTCTGGGATCATGGCTATTAAGGAGCTTGATCAGGAACCATAGAGGCCTTACCTCCAATTATATGCTTAGCTGGAGGTGATTTGTGGGTGTGTCTCCCACATACCTAACTTTTGGCCGTTTACTTTCTTGGTAAACTTGGCCCCAAGTTGTTGGGGTCTGGCCAAAGGCGCAGCAGCAATTTTGGGGTATCTAGAAGTCTAAAGGCACCATCAGGCTGCTAATGCATTAGCCTTACAGGTGCAGATTGGCCTGCTGGTGGCACCACACCCCCGCTCAGGGGCTACTAATAACTTGCTGCTTGGGAGGTTGCTCCAGGGGTTGCTCTTGGCTGTGCTTGAGGGACCATGTGTGTTGGGTATTGAACTGGGGCTGTTGTGTGCAAAACATGTGCTCCAGCACTTTGGGCTCTCTCCACCCCAAATCTATTAAATTAAATTAATCATCATTTGGGATGGGGGTGCACCTGGCAGCACTTGGGGGCTATTTATTTATTTATTATTATTTTTATCAAATAGCCATGATTTACAACGTTACTGAGGGTTGAGTTTTAGGCATCCAATCATTCAACACCAATTTCCTCTACCAGTGCCAACTTCCCCCCACCAGTGTTCCCAGCTTCCCTCCCCACCCCAATCCCCACTCCACCCCCACCTGTCAACTTGACAGGCACGTTACAAAGTTCCAGTGGATGCCGCTTGGATCTCATGTTTTCAGTTCTGTTGAACCTGTGTTTTGGGGATATGGCTGTACCCCTCACTCATATCACTGGTGTAATGTGAAGCCCTGATGCCTGCTAACCCACTACTTCCTGTTCTCTTCTTCCCCCTCTTGGAGTTTTTCCTGGCGCAGCTCTCTGACCAACTAAGCTGCTGTTGGGAGAGAACCCCTAGTCACTGCATTAGGAGGGTGAACTGTTGTCAGAGGAACTGGAACTCCTCAGAAATCAGCGTGGCTTAACGGCCTTGCAACTGCCTGTGGGTGGGCTTGAGATTTGGGAGATCCAGCACCTGTAGTGTCTATAGTGCTTGTTGTTCCACCTCTGCACTAACTCCTGTGACACCTTGTGACTTCCTCCCACCTGGCTCATGTAAACCATAAATTTCTCCTTCCTCTTTCCATCTCATGAGTCTCACGTAACGCATCCCTTTCTGCCCCCCATTACCCTCCCCCAATAAACTTTGTCATATGACTCTGAGTCTATGGGTGCGAGTGACTGTGCTTCAGTCATGTTGCACACACGAATCTTTGGACATCTGTTGTCCTAGGTGCCAGAAAACTGTCTCACATTCCCAGGAGTCAGTGGTCACAGGCTGGCTATACCTCCTTGATTTCTTTCCTTTTCTGTCTCCTCTCTAAACACTGGGGTCAAGGATGACCTAAGCATCACTGTATCACTGTCATCCTGTTGTTCATCGATTTCCTCGAGCAGGCACCAGTAACATCTCCTTCGTCCTAGCCCTGAGATTTTAGCAAGTGCCACATTGGAGGCTCTTTCAGGGTCAGGGGAACGAGACCTGTCATTGTTACTGGTTTTTGGCATACTGAATATGCCACGGGGAGTTTGCCAGACTCTGCTGTGTGGACAGGATACTTTCAGTAGCTTGTCAGGTTCTCCAGACTAAGAACTAGATAATAAGAACCAGGGTTCTTTGCATTTGCCGCCACAAGCTTCGGCGAGCTGGGTTTTATAGTCTCTGGGTCTTGGCCGTTGATGGGATTACATGGCGCCGGGGGCAGTTGGTGGGTGTAACGCTTTTTAAAAATTTTTTAAAATTTTAAAAATACTTCTTAAAATGTCAACAACTGTATAAATTGCCATAGAAACAGGACATGAAAAGAAGTCTAGGGGACTGGGTAGTACTGGGGGTAGAGTGCTTGCCTGGCACCTGGCTGCCCGGTGTGGCCCCTGGCTCCCCGGCACCCCATATGGTCCCCTGAGCTTGCAGGAGTGAACCAAGAGTCATCCCAGTGTGGTCCAAAAACAAAACAAAACAAAAAAACCAAGAAAGCCCCAATAAACTAGTCTCTATAGAACCCCAGGTTTCTGCCAGTATCTCATCCTTCCACCTTCCAGCTCCGACCTAAGAATACCTGGGGGTTATTTTTGATTGAAGCATGCAGAACAGGGTATTAAACTGGACCTCCCATATTCAAAGCTTCTACTTATCCTGTTGAGATATCTTGCTGGCTCTCCCAGATTTATTTTGGTAAAGGTAAAAGCCCTCCCATTGTTCGTCGATTTGCTCGAGCGGGCCCAGTAACGTCTCCATCATGAGACTTTGTTGTTACTGTGTTTGGCATATCGAATACATCATGGGGAGCTTGCCAGGCTCTGCCGTGCGGGCGAGATACTCTCAGTAGCTTGCCGGGCTCTCTGAGAGGGGCCGAGGAATCGAACTCGGGTCGGCCATGTTGGCTGCGTGCAAGGCGAACACCCTACCGCTGTGCTATCGCTCCGGCCCAGATTTATTTCTCCGTCCCAGATTTATTTTAATTTTATAAAAATTCCAACTTACTGATAATTTTTTTGATCAGGAGAGCTGTTTGATGCTCCTATTTTTTAATTACTGCTTTTAAAATCAGGTTATATGGGCTTCACTAATTTTTCACTATTTTTTATAGTGGCTTTTATTCCTGCTGTAGATCATTGAAATCTAGTAAGACTTTCTTGGAGGTACTATCTTTACTATTGTGCTGCTGATTGGCCCATTGCCCGAGTATTTCCCCTACCTTTGGAACAGGTATCCCAACAATTTTGCAGGTGAAAGTGACTGGAGAGCCTTCTGTGACCCGGAAGTGCTTGAGTCTTTTGTCAAAGATGGGAGCAAGACATCTGCCCGTGGGGATCTCATCGTGTTGGATTTCATCATCTGATTCATCCACAGGGGTCCGTTCTAGGCGAAACTCTATTTCATTCATCAGCCTCTGTTCAAAGTTTGAAATTTTGTACTCCTGTCAAAATAGCAAACAACTGTCAATTTAATTGGTAAGGAAGAAGGTATCTATTAGTATAAGTTGAGGATGCCACTATGAGTCAAATATTAGCTTTATGTTATAGAAACCCAAAAAATCAGGCATTTTCCAATCTTTCACTATAGGACACTTAGTGGAGATTTTAGTGTCTTTACTATAATCCAAAACTGTCTTAGTGAATCCTGATTCCTAACATGAAACCCTGGTAGAATCCTGGAGAGAATGAAATGAAGATAGATAGCATCTTCACAACTGCTATTAGTGTCCATATCAATATGTAGAACTGCCTATGCAATATTTTGGCAAAAGGATTCTGACCCGCATTCTGACACATATGGGTATTACCAACTTCCTTTTGCTACTGGCCAGTCTTATCTGCATTACTTGAGGAAAACCTGTCTTGAATAAATCTTCCTTAGCCCCCATATGAATCTTCATTTTATTTCTCTGTTTCTGTCCCAATGAAACCGTTCAAAATAATATTTTATCATTATGGGATCATTTCCCTGTCACCCATTCTCTTGTTAACCTATTCCAATTAGGTTTCACTGAAATGATTATTGTCAGTGTCTTTATATATGCTAAACCTAGTCGTTACTTATCTCCTCCCTTTCCTGGCCTCTCATCAGCATTATACACGTATAGCTACTTCCTCCTTTTTGAAGACTTGTCTTCTTTTGGTGCCCATGAAACCAGTGATTTTCCCCCTTCTCTTTCTCTAGTTGCTCCTTCTCAATCTCCTTTGCTATCTCCTACTCCTAGGTAGGTGATAGCGTCTGATCTCACAGCTTTAGATATCTTCTGTATGTGGATGGCACCAACATTAACATTGCCAAGACTGTTCTCTTTCCAGAACCCTCATACTCAGTGATCTTCTCTCTGTTATGAAGGTGGTAGAACCGAAAGTCTAATCAATAGTCTACTCTGTACCATGGATGTCTAATGGGCATCTTAAACTTAATATAGTCCAAACAACAAATATTTGATTCCCGGTTTCTAAGAGATGATTCTACCCTGATCTTAGCCATCTTTTTTTTTGCTTTTTGCTTTTTTTGAGGGTTACATTTGGTGATTCACAGGGGTTACTCCTGTATCGCACTCGGGAATTACCCCTGGTGGTGCTCAGGGACCATATGGGATGCTGGGAATCGAACCCAGGTCAGCCGCATGCAAAGCAAACACCCTACCCACTGTGCTATTGCTCCAGCCCTCGGTCTTAGCCATCTTAGAAAATGGTTGCACTGTTCACCTTCTCGGATAAGACAGATTTTTAAAATTTACAAACTTTACAAAATAAAAAATAATTCTAGGAATTAAAAATTGCATGTTGGGGCTAGAGATAGATCTATATCTCTATATATTTATGTCTATCTATCTAGTTATCTCTAAGGCTTGTGTCTTGCATGCAACTGGCCCCAGTTTGATCCCAGGCACCACATGATACTTCAAGCATCTCTGAGTGCAGCTCTGGAGTCCCCGCAAGCATGTCCTACCTTTTGCTGCCGAGCTTTGACCCCTGATACCACATATGGCCCCCCTAATCCCCACCTAAGCCCTGAGCACAGCTGGGTGTGGTTCCAAACAAAAATGAAAAAGAAACTATGGTATCAATATGGAATGGAATACTCTCAGGCTGTGAGGAAAAAAAATTATGCAATTTACTGCTACATGGGTGAATCTGGAGAGTGTCTGGCTGAGTGAGGTTAGTCAGAAGGAGAGGATCAGACACAAAATGATCTTCCTTATATGTGTGATATAAAGAAACATAAAAGGGGAATAACGTGTCTAAAGGCAATAGAAACTGAGAAGCGGTCTTCAGCATGAATCTTCTTACCACAGGGTGGGGCTGTGGGGGTGTTCTGATGTGTGTGTGTGTGTGTGTGTGTGTGTGTGTGTGTGTGAGAGAGAGAGAGAGAGAGAGAGAGAGAGAGAGAGAGAGAGAACACTGGGACAATGGTGAAGAGATGCAGACACTGACGGAGAATATGGTGCTGGATGAAACCCTATCATTAACAGTAAACCATGGTGCCTAAAATAATATAAAAAAGTATAAAAATATCTTAAGTTAAAAAATCTTAAGTATCACATAGCATTTCAGTGGTCTAGGAGAGAAAATGAAAAACTAGAAAATTATTTCAGAAGACAATTTCTCTTAGAATACTTTTTTCTTCTTCAGTGATAATCTTCTGAAGGCTGATATTGTGATAATTGGAGACAACATTTCTGGGACACGTCAGCAGAAATAGTTTTTAAATCATCAAAGTGTGGGAAAGAGTGCGCCTTTTATTGATAACCACAGTGCAATGACAGTCCAATCAGATATGGTATTGTCAAGGCTTTGGATTTCCACAACATGGACCAATAGTTAACAACCTGCCCTGAGCTCTCAGCGGGCTCCCTCCAGTCTCGGCTGAGTCTGGGCTTCTGGGGCAACTAAAAAAATTAGAGAAGACCAGCTGGAAGAATGTACTTAAAGTATTTCCAAGCAACTCTGGGGATGCTATTCATTAAAGAAAGTCTTCTGTGCTAAAAAGAAGAAAAAGAAAATAGAAAAAGAAAAAAAGGCATTCTTTTTACTATAGGGGACAATCACCAAATGGTAATGAATAAAGGATTCTTCGATAAACCTGGATGTTAACAAATGTAGAATGGCTTCGTGTATAATTATTTCAATATTAGTTGATCTATCTCATCTTATATGATCTATCTAATACTTCCAGCATAGTACTTCCAATAAAAATGACCGGATTCCATATCCGACCGTCTGTTACTGCTGCCAAATCCCTAGGAAGACCCTCCAATGTGCTAAATGCTATTTAAGCTAGGCCCTGGGAACACGAGGTTTAAGAAACATGGACTCACTTCAAGAATGTTGCATAAAATTTTTTTAAATTCAAAATTTATACTTAATGATTTCTTAAGGACGCACATGTTCGCAGTGCATAAATGGTTAGTTAACACCAAACTTTTGCTAAAGTTCAGTGTTTTAAAGTTTTTATTATATTTAAAATCAGTTGATTAAAATAGATTATAAAAGGTATAATTAGGTGTAATCAAATTTTTTTTAGTCATCAGGTGAGATCTATTCTTTTTCCCTCTGTGTCCTTTGTCTCCTGTCCCTCTGCCATTTATTATGGGGAATCAAACACTTTGTTGGGGTGGCACACCTAGGGGTGCTCAGCGGATGCCTACTCTGAGCTATGTGGTTTGGAAAGAGAGGTAAGACAGAGAGAGAGAGACAGACAGACAGACAGAGAATGAACTGCAGAATTAAAACATGGGAAAGTTTTCAGAGAAAGGAGGTATGAGGTCAAATAAGAGAATCTACATAAGACATTAAATAGAAGATTATGTGTTCATAGATTTAGAAGTAAACAGCCAACAGTATTTTTTGGATATGGAATATCTTGCTAAGTGATATGCAAAATCGTCATTAATCCCGAATGGGATTACATTTTGTGACCCTGGTTTCTTCGGATGTCTTTGATCTACTTTGAATAGTTATATTGTTTAAGTTTTACTGATGGCCCGGAACCGCGCGGCCGCATTTGCAGCTGCGCGACATCCTATTATGACATCTTATTATCTCATTCCTACTTTGGACAAACTGGCAGGCTACCGAATGTAGCCTGCCCACACGGCAGAGTCTGGCAAACTCCCCGTGGCGTACCCAATATGCCAAATACCAGTAACAATGATGGGTCTCATTCTCCTAAAGAGCCTTGAATATAATCTCAGGGCTAGGATGAAGGAGACGTTACTGGAGCCTGCTCGAGGCAATCGAAGATTAACAGGATGATTTGTGATTTGATTTTTGTGATTTGTGATGGCTCATAAAGATCCAGTGGTGGTGAGTGATACCCTCCAAGATACAGGGATGAAGCTAAAAGGCAGAAAAAACCTTTGTTGTCATTTTAGAAAGATAAAAATTCTGGGTCCAGAGGAAGAGGGCTGTGGCTTCGAATACTTGCTGGGCAAACACTGGTCACGGGTTCAACTCCCGGGCATCACCAGGTGCACCAAGCATGACCTGGGCAGCTCTGGTCTTTGAGCCTGGCAGCCCTGCTGTCTATAATCGCTGCTGCGGTGATTTCTGGCACCACAACCAGGTGTGCATAAATACCACAAAGGGGTGTGACCCCTGGCAAGCATAGGTGTGTGTGAGTGCCATGCCAGGAAGTGAAACCCCTTGTGGGCATGTGTGTGAGCACCGTGGCTAAAGAGATGCAAAGCTCGGTGAACATCATGACCAAGGATGTATGTAAGCGCCTGACCCGATAAGCAACCTGTAGCAGCATCTTAGCTAAAACTGTGCAAGCAACCACAATCTGGCCATCACAACAGTGACAACAGCAAAAATATCAACAACAGGAAAGGGAAGCAAAGGAAAGAGTAAAATACAACAGATACGGGGGCTGGAGCGATAGCACAGCAGGTAGGGCATTTGCCTTGCACGCAACCAACATGGCCGGCCCAGGTTCGATTCCCAGCATCCCATATGGTCCCCCGAGCACCGCCAGGAGCAATTCCTGAGTGCATGAGCCAGGAGTAACCCCTGAGCATCACTGGGTATGACCCAAAAAGCAAAAAAAAAAAAACCAAAAAACCCAAAAAAAACCAAACCAAACCAAACAAATACAATAAAAAATTTCAAGGAGACAAAAACTATCAATATTAAAATCTAAGATGATATTACTTTTATATTAAACAATGTTATAAGAATAAACAAGCAAGGACTGAAGATATAGTAAGCAGGTCGGGTGTTTGCCTTGCAAGGGGCTGACCCAGGCTCACTCTCCAGCATCCCATATCTTTCCCCCAACACCACCAACAATGATCTCTGAGCAGAGACAGGAGTAAACCCTGAGCTGGGTGTGACCCCCAAACCCAAAACAAACAAAGAGGAAAGGATACAGTTTGGAACCTCAACGTGCTTAAACTCTAGATCATCTCAAGGTTCAGATATAGAAGAATCTCAGAGTGATGGTTTTTGCCAAAACTGAACTAAGGATTGCTGGAATGGACAAGAGACTGTGGCGTTTCCTAGAAACAACGATCCCCTTGCTTATCTCCGTTAATATGTTTAATTCTAGGTGAACACAGGTAAACAAGAAAGCTGAAGCAATTACTGGGACGATCAGGAACTGTAGAGCCATGTGGATCAGTTTCCTACATGATCCCTGGTTAGTCTATGCTCTTCCTTCGATGACTGAATTGATCATCTCATTGGGCCAGGTCACCTGATGTCCAAGTACTGAATGAAGCAAAATCATATCTTTTACAATCAAATTCTAACACACCATCCGAACCCAATAATCTTACCTGCTGGTTTAATTTGACATCACTGAAATTCATCTTTTTCCCCAAGTCTAGAATCACTGCATTCTTGGCTTCACGAATGTAATCATCGTTCACTGGCTGGGCAGACTTTGTATTTTTCTTCATTAGTCCCTGGGAAGGGCTATAAGATAAATTCACAATAAATTTCATGTTATGCATAAAAAAATATTGGCCAATGTACAAAAATCTAGAAATCAGATGCTCGAAAAATCAACCAGACTCAAGGAGTCATTGTCCCTCATGGAGAATATCTTGTGTGCAAAAATCAAATACTGTTTAGAGCACCTATCTTCAACATTGAAACGATACAAAAACCAGAGACCAGAGTGATCGTACATGTGGTTTAAGGTGATTGCATGGCGTGCAGCCTACCCTGGCTCAAACCTGGGCACCATATATAAATCCCATCTGGAATGATGCTTCACTATAGAGACAGGAGTGAGCACTGAGCACGGCTGCGTGCACCCCCCCACCCCCAATTAAAAATTTTTTAAAGCAATCATGCCCTTTTTGTCTGAGATGTTCACGATCCATTTTGGGCTGGAGACAGGACTTCCTTGAAGTCTCCTTTGCAGAAGTCCTGCCCCAGACCAAGCTACTCCACAGAAAAGACTCTTCTCAACTGAGCCTGAAGAGAGTCTTCTGATGGGCTGGAGCAATAGCACAGCGGGGAGGGCGTTTGCCTTGCACGCGGCCGACCCGGGTTCGATTCCCAGCATCCCATATGGTCCCCTGAGCACTGCCAGGAGTAATTCCTGAGTGCATGAGCCAGGAGTAACCCCTGAGCATCGCCGGGTGTGACCCAAAAAGCAAAAAAAAAAAAAAAAGGTATCATTTGATGGGGCTGGAGCAGTAGCACAGCAGGTAGGGCGTTTGCCTTGCACGCGGCCGACCCGGGTTCGATTCCCAGCATCCCATATGGTCCCCTGAGCACTGCCAGGAGTAATTCCTGAGTGCATGAGCCAGGACTGACCCCTGTGCATTGCCGGGTGTGACCCAAAAAGGCAAAGAAAAAAAAAAAAGAGTCTTCTGCAATGAGTCCTCGGAAACACTTACACGGTGGGTGCGCTCCGGGGCAGCCCCATGGCATTGGTGGGCGGGACGGCGGGGAGCGAAGGCAGGACAGAGCTGAGGAAGGCCACCGGGTTTTGAATCCGGCCGGTGGGGGACACGGGAGACGGGGACACGCAGCGCGGCTGGAACTGGCTTCCGCTGGACACGAGAAAGGCGAGCGGAGTGGCCGCTGGCTCTGGCGGGCCTGGCGCGGGGGGCTCGTTCTGGCCGGACGCCGCTCCGGGCGCCTTGGTCTGCACGGGGGGCTGGGAGACCACGAGGCTCTCTCTGCTCAGGGTCCTCTGGAGGCCCGGGGGCGCCCCGCCGAGCGTGGACCCCGGGGGACTGGACGGGGACTCGCTGGCGGACGCCAAGAAGGGCTTGGGTCGGGCCACGCTGACCGCCTGCGCCGCCGCCGACGACGCCGACGAGGACGGGGCCTTCACCTGCTTGCTGGACACGGTCACGGCCAGGGGCGCAGTGGAGTTGAAAACGCTGACGTTGAAAGGGGGCTCCTTGGGAGACGAGGGCGGCGGCGGGGCCTGCAGCTGCTGCTGCTCCAGGAGGACTTGGTTGTGAAGCTGTTGTAGCTGTGTGGAATCCCTACACACACATGCACACACACACACACACGCACACACACGGGGCGGGGGTCGGGAGAGAGAGGAGGAGAGAGAGACAGAGACCCGTTAGCAGAGGCCTCGCCCTGCAGAAAGTGGACACAGGCTGCGTCTATCTCTGGTTCATCGGAACACAACCAGGATTAGGAGAACCAGTGAGTGGAGCCCAATGGGTTGTGGGTCCCTCCTTTCTAGGGCGGTGCCACTGCCAGCACTCAGGTCAAAGGCTACCATCCTAGAGGGCATCTTTCACTGTGTGTTCCTCGTGTCCTGACCTACGTCCAATTTTAGAGAGTTTAGGAAGAAGGCAAAAGACATAGGGACAGTGGGGATGGAGTGATAGGACAGCGGGCAGGGCTTTTGCCTTGCACATGACCTACTTGGGTTCAGTCCGGGTCATCCTGTATGGTCCCCTGAGCACTGCCAGGAGTGATTCCTGAGTGCAGAGCCAGGAGGAACTCCTGAGCATTGCCAGGTGTGGCACAAAAACAAGAACCAAAAAATCAGAAATAGTAACGATGATCTTCTCGTTGAGAGTGCTCAGAGGTCCAGGACCCAAAGTGCGTATTTCAGCTTCACATGAGCTCTGGACTCACGTGGACTGTGTCTTGTCAAAGGGGCTTGAATTCTGGAGGCCAGTGTGCTACATTCTTCACGGATCTTCTTTTTAGAGCAAATGTTGCTAAGCTTATTTGGCCTACCAAAGCCTTCTCAGGAATAACACCACGCAAATAACCAGTGGTTATTTATAGGTAACATATATTACATACTGCTATAAAGGTATCTAGTGCAATAAAAGAATAAACTTCCTCTAATGAAGGGCGATGAATTGCATAGCACTTTGGTTTGAAATTCCCGAGAAACCTCTCAAATTCAAAGCAGTCACCTGAGCTGGGGATGCACTCATGTTGAGTGTGAGGGTTGCATGTTCTGTATTGAGTGTTCAGGCTCCAGGAGTTTAATCTAATATCCCCTCAAAGAAAACAAAACCGGGGCTGGAGAGAGTACAGTGGGTAAGGGGCTTTCCTTGTACGTGGCCAGCCCAGGTTTGATCTCCGGCATTCCAGATGGTTCTCTGAGTTTGCCAGGAGTGATTCTAAGTGTGGAACCAGGAATGAGCCCTGAGCATTATTGAGTAGAATCAGGAGTAGGGCATGAACACAGCTCTTATGGCCCCCAGACAGAAACAAAACGAAACAAACAGATGATACTTCGTAAAACACACAAAAAGATGATACTTCCTGGCCTTTCCATTTTGTATGCCACAAGCCTGAATTCTGGGCAGTGACATGTCAACAGCAGATTTAGGGTAGGCTCTAAGACATCTTCTGTAAGAGGTCTGACATCAGGACTTTTACTCATTTGCCCCAGCTGCTACTTAAAATGCTGATGTGAAGACTAACTAGCCCACCCTCAGTCATCTTGAACCCTAAGGAGATCTGGAGAAAAGCTGGTGCTGAAGGCAGATCAGAAGGTCAGAAAGGGATTAACACTACAGAGCAGTGGTTCCCAACTGTTTCCCAAATCTTCCTCTTGTGGACACACAGGAATGATGGGGGCGGGGAGGGTATTAATCTTCGGTGGAATTGGGGGGCACTTTCTGTTTGCTTGCTTAAATAAGGTAGGTTTGTGGACACACTGAGCAATTTGTTGATTTTCTGAAAAGGGGCATGTGGGATGAAGAAGCATGGGAACCGCTGCCAGGGAGTCACCAAAGGCAGTCTCAGGCAGCCCATCTAATTCCGTTACTCCAGGCAAAAACAGCCCTCGTGTCCTTAACCCACTGTTCGTTTGGATTTTCTGCAATACAAAGAGGAAACTAATCCTAATCTCAGCATACATAATGGCACCTAATCATCCCTGGGTAAAAGGATAATTGCTTCCAATGGCTCTTCCTACATTTCCTCCTCCGAGAACCGCCCTTCCCATCTAGCTTCTTATTGGATCCATTTAGCTCTTCTTCCCGCCAAACATAAATTCCTTACACCCGATTAGGCTGGACCTGTTCATACTTGCAATCAAGGTGTCAAGAGCAATCGTTAACAGTGGAACCCAGCGCAACTCACAATACAGAGTGGGGTATGCCCTGACGGGCCAGGGCTAAGTTAATGAGTCTTCAGAGAGGGAAGCATGGAGCTGATATGCCAACAGGAAACCAGGAAGAACTCACAGCAGGAAGCGGCAGATGGAGGCAGGGCTGACTATGTGGTGCTAACTCCCGGCTGGCCATGCGGAGTCTGTGTTTTTCTTTCATTCCTATTCCCGCTTATTATCCTCTAGCAACCTCTTGTTATCTTTCCTTGAGTAAGGATTTCTTTCCTTTTCTTGTTTTGTGATTGAAGGGATAAAAACATTTCTGGGTAGGGAGTACAGTGCCGCCAGCAGGTCAGTCTGTACCTATGAGGTGAGTGCATCAGCAGCCTCATGGTGCCTTCAGACTTCCAGATACCCCAAAATAGCTGCTGTGCCTTTGGCCAGGCCCCAAAAACTTGGGGCAAAGTTTACCAAGAAAGTAAACGGCCAAAAGTTAGGTACGTGATAGAGAAACAAACCACCACAAACCACCTCAGGCTCAGCTATATAATTGGAGGCAAGGCCTCTTTGGTTCCTGATTGAACTGCTTAATGGACATGATCCCAGAGACTCAGAAACGAATCTCAGAACCCAGTGGCTTTAGGTAGAAATGCATCTGGTCTCTGCAGTAGGTAACCAGTGCTGGGCCACCCCAGATGGGAATAGGTTTTGTGTCTTGGCCTGTTCCCCCTGGCAGCCTGATGGCCGCCATCCTCCAGAGGCCACTGGACAGTCAGGTTTGGACCTGCAGTGACGAGACACGTGGGGCCTCACGGGATGGGGGTGGAGTCGGCCCTTTCCTCCCCTTTCCAGTGAGATCCCGAGTCGCCGCCCACGAATGGCCTCTCTGGCTCCTGATCAAGCTGCTCAATGACCATGATCCCAGAGACTCAGAAACAAATCTCAAAACCCAACAGCTTTTGACAGAACTGTGTCCGGCCCCTGCAGTAGGTTACTGTCGCCAGGCCACCCCAGGGGGAAAAGGGTGCTGTCTCTCCACCTGCTACCCCTTGGTGGCTTGGTGGCTGCCATCCGCCAAGGCCATTGGACAGTCAGGTTTGGGCCTGCAGTGACGAGACACGTGGGGCCTCACGGGATGGGGGTGGAGCCGGCCCTCGAGACACCCGAGTTGCTGCCCACGAAAGGCCTCTCTGGCTCCTGATCAAACTGCTTAACAGCCGTGATCCCACAGACTCAGGAACAAATCTCGGAACCCAGCAAGTTTTGGCAGAAATCCCTCCAGATTTAATTGTTAAAATTTTGGAATTTCAAAATCACGTGGCCACTACTGCAGCCACGCGACATCATATGTTATTCCATAACCAGCAATAGAAAACAAATTGTCTACTGTTGCCTTTTTGGCAGATCTGAGTGTTGGGATAAAATCCCAAATAATAATGGTGGGTCTGGTGTCAAAATATTGAATGTAATCAAAGCAGTGAGAGAGTAATGTAGAAATAATCTGCCCCACAGGTAGGGGGAGGGCGGGGAATGGGGGTATACTGGGGTTTTTGATGGTGGAGACTGGGCACTGGTGAAGGTACAGATGTTTCATTGTATGACCAAGACTTAAACCCAAAAGCTTTGTAACTGCTCTCACGGTGATTCAATAAATAAAATTATAAAAAATAAAAAAAAATTTCTGGGTATAATTTGCTAAGATGCATATTTTGTAACTTTTTTTTTTTACAAAATTTTGTTACAAAAATGTTTAAAAATGCATTATTTCTTGTAACATTTATTTTTTAAACCTAGAATGTTGCCTAATGTGGTAGTGAGAAGAATAAGAAGCTAAACTAAACAGCCTGGACTGATTCCAGTGAATAAATATCGTGTGGCCTGCATTGGAAGCTGTGAGATATGGTATAGCTGCTACTGTAGGTTTTCCTGTTGATAGTAGAAAGTTTTTGTAACTAGAAACATAATTTAATTATCTTGATGTGTGAATCAAACACCATAATAGTAGCTCATGTTCTGTGTTTGCTTGGCTATGGATGAACTTTGAACTGATAGAGGTGGTCTAGAGACTATGGCAATAACCACATCAGGTTTCTGTGGTGGGTCTGAAAATTAAGACTCTTCTTTACATCCTTTTACATGTCTATGAATCCAACTCTGGTTACTACAGCACATCTAGCATAGCAAAGACTCACCTGAAAATGTACTAATCATTTTCCTGTAATGACTTACTAAGAACTTAAGCTCAAGCAGAAATGGGAACTATAAGAAAAAGACAGATAATAACAATGATTGAATACAGAACAGGGCTTTATAGGAAGAGTACGAAAGGTTTTTTTTTTCTTTTTTGGGTCATACCTGGCGATGCACAGGGGTTACTTCTGGTCCATGCACTCAGAAATTACTTCTAGTGTTGCTCGGGGGGACCATATGGGATACTGGGAATAGAACCCAGGTCTGCCATGTGCATGGAAAATGCCCTGCCCACTGTGCTATCACTCCAGACCCTGAAAGTGCTTTATCTGGACCCTTTCATGGAAGACAAAACTCTGAACTACGTTAGGTGTAACATTTCTCAATGGTAAACTATTAGTAAAAAGGAGGGTAGTGATCAGACACTTATATTGATATAAAGGGGCACAGCTTACAGAGTATTTCATTTGTATTTTCTCATCTTCTAATTCCCTTTTCAGGTCCATCATTTTAAAAGAAAGACAGATTCAGAGAAACTCGCAGGTATTCTTCATTTTCTATTCTAATTTTGACTTACAGTTTGGGCTTGGCCAGAACTGGAGGGGGCTCTTTGATAGGTGAAGAAGGCTCAGGGAGTTTTGCTGCCTGTCCATTGAATCTTTCCTGGAAGGAATCAGGCCTGGGCTGGTTGGTGGCCCCCAATCCACCGTCAGAGGAGGCTTCACTTCCCTTGTCATCTTCAGGCAGGTTGAAATGCACCCGGAGTCCAATCCTGGAGCTGGATCGAGGCTCACTGTGATTCACCAGAACCCCTTCGAGTTTGGGTCTGCGAGGCTGTTCCACAGGACGCTCTGAGTTTGGTGGGGATGGCTGTGGCTCCGTAGCAGCCAGATTGGTGGTGGAGTTGGCTGAGTGAAGAGACCCATTGTTACTGAGCTCCTCATTTCCTGAAAGGACAAGAATTGGATCCGAGTCATTAGAAACATCCCAGAGAATGAGATTAAAATTGGAAGGTCATGTTGGGGAATGAGCCCAAAGGCAAAGTATTCAACTGAGTGTCTTAGTGGGGAAAGACAGGCAGCAGCATCTGGGCTATTAAAGAACGGTGTGATTGTTGGGGGGGGGGATTCTAAACAATAATGGTGCATCTTTTGTTGAAATAATGAATGGAATCAATGTAGAGAAGAGTTAAGTAGAAATCATCTGCCTCACAGGCATTGGGAGGGGTGGGAGGGGGGTTTATTGGGGTTCTTGGTGGTGAAAAATGAGCACTGGTGAAGGGAAAGGTGTTTGATCATTGTATGACCGAGACTTAAACCTGAAAGCTTTGTAACTTTTCCCACAGTGATTCAATAAATAAACATAGGAAGAAAAAAAAAGAATGGTGAAGATACCAACAAGATTAAACTTTGACATTTTGGAAAGAATACTGGATGTTGTCATAAGACCAAGGCAATGCTTTCTTAGGGAAGAATAGGTAACAGCAGGATGATAGGTGATGGCAGTAAATGTCATAAGGAATTTTAAATTGGATTTAAATTGTTTGAGAACACTTTCATCAATAATACTAGTCTTTTTTTAATAAGTGAATTAATCTAGCTTCATATTCAAGGTAAAAAGAAAACACGAACTCTTCATATGCATATCAGAGTCGTAATCTAACCTGAGCAGTACCTCTGAGTCCTTACCTCTTACGTCCAGCTGGGCTATGCTCGACACTGTGCCATATTTGTTGCTTGCAGTACAGGTGAAGCATCCAGAGTCTTCTGCAAATACCTCAGCAATGACCAAAGTACAAATCTCTTCTAAGTGCCAGTAAGACAAAAGGTTACCAACTTAATTATGGAAATGAAATTTTGGAATTTACTGATATAAGATGATAATTTTACAAAAGTCATAGATGATTGACTATATTGTTCTAAAACAACTAGTCCAAATAATTATTTGATTGAATTGACTGATTGGAAGCTTAATAATCAAAGTATGTAAACTCTAGGTAGACAGACTAATCACTCTAGGTAGACACTACAGTTAAGCAGAGTGTATAAAAATGTCCACTATATATTATGTATTCTTAGATTATCTTCTAATATTATTAATTCAATATCAAAAATTAGAACTGAATAAAAAATTAAATTACAAAAAATAGCCCAAATCTTCAAACAGCTCAAATGTCCATGAAGAAATGATTGGACATAAAACTACAGTACACACACAATGGAATACTACTCAGCTACTTGAAAAAAAGATGAAATCATGCAATTTGACTGTATGTACACACTCACCTGGAGAATATCATGCTGAGTGAAATTAGCCAAAAGGGATAGATACAGAATGATCTCTCTCATATGTGAGATATAAAGAAACATGGTAGGGAAATCACAGACGCACAAAGAAAACGGTAACCAAGAACTGTTTTCCAGTAGAAAGTTTACCACAAGGAAGTAAGGGGTGTGGAAGTGGTGGAAGGTGACCCTGGGACTAAGGTGGAGGAAGGTGGACACTCTAGTGGATGGTGCGATGCTAGAATTTTAATCTATGAAACTATTGATATAGTTTTGTAAACCACATTGCTTAGAATAAAGTGTAAAAAATAACCACATGCCATAAAAACAAAAATAGATTTAGTGCTGGAACAAAATGAAAAGTGTGTGTGTGTGTGTGTGTGTGTAAAATAAGGACTAATAAAGCTCTAATAATGGCCTCTTCCTGGGATGAGAATAATTGGTTTCAGCCAGTTATACTCTCCCTGTTCTTGCTAAGTGGTGGCATGTCAGTGACAATTCTCTCAGTGAGCTGGCAAGAAAAGTCTGTTGGGGAATTCTGGGAAAGATTTTCTTTATAAACAGGGCAAAAGAGAATGTGATTCCTTGTTTTTGCCTTTGGATGTGACCATCTGCATGAAATGGAGGCCGCCATCTTAGGTGTGAATGGAATCAGCCTAGAAAGACTGAAAATGGCAGAATAGAAAACTGGGGGTGAAGTGGAGGTGGGGAGGCTCGACTCTTGATGACCTGTGAGATAATAAATGAACTACTCTCAAGTAGTAGACCATTTCTTATGCATCTAATTATATAAGAGGCCACATTTTTCTTGTTACTTAAGTAAGTCGATTTAGTTAGGTTTTTCTTTGCTGCCCGCAAATCCAAAATGATGGAAGCAATTTCAGAACCTCTGTGCTTTTCCTGGGTTCTTGACTTATGTTTCTCTGTTTCCCTGCCCAGACACTCATATTCTCATCTTTCAGCAACTGATACTCAAAACGATGTGGTAAACCCACAAGATATTAAGGCTATCTGATCAGGAGTGTTCCATCGCTAAAGGATATTTAATGAAAGTTTAGCTTGTGAGGCTGGGAAAGGCAAAACTTGGTTTGGGCACTCACCACCTCCCAAGTCCTCTACTCAGTTACTCTAAAATTATTAGGTGCTGTGGACCACCTAGTGAAAAGCTTGATAATGACTCAAATTTATCATTCTTTTTTTTTCTTTTTGGGTCATACCCGGAGATGCACAGGGTTTACTCCTGGCTCATGCACTCAGGAATTACTCCTGGCGGTGCTCGGGGGACTATATGGGATGCAGGGAATCAAACCTGGGTTGGCCGTGTGCAAGGCTAAAGCCCTACCTGCTGTGCTATCGTCCCAGCCCCTCAAATCATCATTCTTATGAGACTTTACAAATATCTTTTGATTTTTCAGGATGATCATAAAAAGGATCTTCGGGACCGTTTTCGTATACATATGCTGTATGATATGTATTTAAGGAGCACTTGACTTAGTGGTGCTTGGTGACTATTTCTCACTCTGTGCTCAGAGGTCACTCCTGGAGGTGCTTAGGGAACAATGGTGTAGTGATTGAACAGGGTCTGCCACATACAAGTGAAGCACCTCAATCCCTGTACTCTCTCTGGCCCTGGTTTGTATCTCCTCCCTCCATCCCAATGGCCCTCACCCCAAAAATAACCCCAACAACCTAACAACTGAATTTTAACCTTCTTTGAACAATTTTAACCTTATTTAATTTCACTACATTTTAATTATAAATACTAAATCAAAGATTATACAGATTAATAAAACAAACTTAAAGCAATTTTTACCTGGCTCAGCCATGGATCGAGGTTCTAAAAGGAAAAAACAGAAGATTCTGAGCATTTATTTTACCGAACACTTGTATTTTCATTAACAACTTTCTGGAGAATTTCATAGCCTTTTGTATATTCAGTGGTGATTTGATAGGGTTATGTGAATATAACATTAGGTAAAATGACCTCAGAACTAATGACTTTAAAAGGAATGTGATGATTGTCATTGAAAGACACGAAGAGAACAGCTCACTAAATTATATTGATGTATCTTGAGACACACCAGCCCTCCCTTGGGTGAGGAAAAATTTCTGGTTTATCTAGGATTCAGAAACAAACTGCTTTGATTGGTACCCATTCCGCCTTAACTACGACAAAAAATTTGTGTCAGTTGAGACTCTCTGGACTTCAGGCTCTCACATCCTCGTAAAGTGAAAAATATACTTCATGTTCTAAAAATTCTAAATTTGAGAGCCTCTTTTGGATGATAGATTTCTTTATCTTAAAAATTTTGGCAACACAGAAAATGTTCTTTTACCAAAAATCTTCTCATCTTCCAGTTTTCAATTGTCTGAAGATTTTTATTGGACTATAGAATAACAAATAAATGGTTGGAGTGATAGCACAGCGGCAGGGCATTTGCCTTGCACGCGGCCAGCATGGCTGACCCGAGTTCGATTCCTCCGCCCCTCTCGGAGAGCCCGGCAAGCTACGAGAGTATCTCACCTGCACATCAAAGCCTGGCAAGCTACCAGTGATGTATTCGATATGCCAAACACAGTAACAACAAAGTCTCCAATGGAGACGTTACTGGGCCCGCTCGAGTAAATCGATGAACAACGGGAGGGCCTTTACCTTTACCTTTTACTGATATTTTAAAAATTGGCATTTCTGAAAGTGCCCCAAAACAAATATTGGTGGTCAATGAATGTATATCATATTGCAGGCACTTAGCAATTGTTGAAATTAGTTATAGTCTACTACAGCAATGTAACGATTGAATTTTATTTTCTCAGTTTGAATATCAGCCAGACTATATTATTGCTGTTGTATTAAAGTTAAATCTAAAACAGCCTGGGTTATATATCGTATTGATCAAGCACTGCTATTTTGTGATTGGGAGAAACAAGTGAATAAAAAAAGCAAGTGACTTCCAGTATCTTGGAATGGATCTATCATCTATCTTATGACTAGGATGGGTTCAGGTAAGTACCGCATGACAAGGTCAGAGAAGGAAAAGAAGTAAGCACTTAGAGGTAAGTAACACTTACAATAGAAAAAATCAAAACCCTTTCTTCATTTTTATAAGTTACTTGTTATGACAGAAATTTAAAAATAAGTTAATACAAATAAATACCTGTAAATATGAAAAAATCCATCTTAAATCTAATTAGTGAAATACAGATTAAAACAGGTGTTTCCAGGCCAGACAGACAGCTCAATGGACTGAGAGCATACTTTGTGTGCAGGAGGTGTGGGCTCGATCCCCGGTACTATGTGGTCTCCAGAGCACGGAGCTAGGAGAAGCCCTAAGTACCATGGGGTGTAGCCCCCAAACAAACAAACAAACAAACAAAAACAAACCAGCAAACCACACACGTTTCCATTTGGGGCCCATAGCATTTGGAAATTTAAAAAAATGTTTGCTACTCATTGTTGGGAAAATCATGAGATAAAAGCATCCATCCCCGGGGCTGGAGTGATGATAGCACAGAGGGTAGGGCGTTTGCCTTGCACGTGGCTGACCGGGGTTGTTGGATTACCAGCATCCCATATGGTTCCCCGAGCACTGCCAGGAAAAATACTTGAGTGCATGAACCAGGAGTAACCCCTGTTCATCGCCAGGTGTGACCCCCCCCCCCGCCAAAAAAAGGCATCCATCTCCATATGCTTCCAACGATAGTAGAATATAATGAATGCAACTTGTATCCCAGTTCAACTGAGACAAGTTGAATAAATAAACAAGTTCAACTTGTTTATTACTGGGATCCTGAGTAACTATTAATAGCACTCTTTCACTCCCTAAAGCATTCCAGCTTGAATGATCAACCATACTATCATTCTAATTTCAGTTCAACATTATTGGATGCAATTCTTAAAATATGTAAATTTACAGTCTAGCAAATCAAGTTCTCAAACTTATCCAATACACAGGTTTGCTCTGTTAACAAACACTAAACAAATTTCATAATAGCAAAACTTTATGAAAAATCTAAATTTTTATAATAGAAAAATCCCGTAAAATCCATTGCATCGAATTATTTCTAGAAGATCTATTAATTTTCAAAAAGATTATACTATGAAGAATTAATTTATAATAAAAGTGTGATTGATTTTATTAAAATACATGGGAAAAGTTCTTAAGGAATGGACACAAGAATATTCACAGGGAAGTTTGATTACAAGGTTTTTTTTTTTTCCTTTTTATTCTGTTTAAAAAGAATGTACACAGTATCTTTATACAAATAAGTCATCAGAAAAATTAATTTAAAACATCAACTTACTTTTCTGTAAAATTCTAAAATCTGGAGAATCTTCTATCAAGGTCCCTTCTCTATACCACTCAACTTTAGGTGACGGAGCTCCTTTTACTCTGCATTCAAAGACGACCAGCTGACCCTCAGATGCTGATAAATTTTGTAACATCTATAATGAGAAGAATATTGTTAGAACTAAAAAGTTCTTAACTTGAAAATAAGAGTTAGAACTGGAATTTTGTTCCAGAATGAAATTTTGAAAAAAGATACCAGTGCCTCCATATTTGAATTTCCTCCAAATCTAATCTCTCCAGCAGCTTCATTCTGGGGATGTACACTGGTCTATTTTTGAGGAGAGAAACATCTGAGCCTGTGGGAAGCATGTTCCTTACTGTCTTCTCTCTTTTCCTCTATGTTGCAGTGCTAGACAAGTTTATTAAATACCAGGCAAAACAGAGTCTGCAAAAATACTAATTTGGGTAAAGTGCTTCCTTCTTAAAAGCCCAACTGGAATTTGATTTTAAGAAATAATGACAGTTGGGCCACCGGGATAGTACAGTGATTAGGGCACTTGTCTTGCACGTGACCCACCAGTGTTCAATTCCTGGCATCTCATATGGTCCCCTGAGCCCCACTAGGAGTGATCACTAAGTGCAGAGCCGGGAGTAAGCCCTGAGCACCACTGAATGTGACCAAAACCAAAAGCGCAACATATAAGAAAGACAACTAAAAATCCGCATTAAGTGAGAGGTATATCGAACAAGTCCTTGAGATTGACCAGCTCTGTGCCCAGGTAGTCAACTCTATCTTCCTGCCTTTCCTTTGTCTACATTCTGTAGACCTGAAAATTGACATTTGTTCTGCTATTTTATTTTCTTCATGTGTACTTACAGTGGTGCCTCAGTGATCTTTAATGCATGTTTAGAACAAGGATTTCTATAAAAGTGGTCATGTGTAGGTCATACTGCAATATAGGTTGTAATCTTGCAAAAAATATCATTAAATGTTTTTTTCATGTCATGTGCTACAAAAAAGCTTATATATACCACTGCGGATTATAAAATATTAGTGTGCTAGACAGTAGACTCTGGGCGAACCAGACTGTATTTTTCTTTAACTCAGTCTTTCACCCCTCTGATTTGAGAGCTTAAAGTCACACATTCATTTGATTGTAAAACACCGCATGTAGTCTCTCTCTTCTTCTTCTTCTTCTTTTTTTTTTTTTTGCTTTTTCGGTCACACCCGGAGATGCACAGGGGTTACTCCTGGCTCTGCACTCAGGAGTTACTCCTGGCGGTGCTCAGGGGACCAGGTAGGATGCTGGGAATTGAACCCGGATCGGTCGCGTGCAAGGCAAATGCCCTACCCACAGTGCTATCTCTCCAGCCCCAGCATGTGGTCTCTTGAGCACTGCCAGGGATCATTCCTGAACATAGAGCCAGGAACAATCCCTGAGCACTCCCTGGTGTCACCCTGCCATCCCGCCCCCAAGAAGTAGATCATCAATTGAAAAATGCATGTATGTGGGGATACTTTTGTTTTTAGTTTAGGTATAAAGATTGTAAACACGGAAATGGTATTATTTCGTTTTTCCACAACTTCTGTAAGAAACAAATGCTGAACAATTTTCTGTTATTACAATTTGGGCCTTGTTTTAGAAATACTGGCTCTAGATTCAGAAGTGGAAAGCAAGTGGCTTTTTCTTTCACTATTAAAATATTTTATGATTGTTCCCAACTCTCACCTGAACAACTTTCAATATTTGTGCGACGCCTCATCAAAATACATATGATTTGTCTAAGGAAAACAGGACTTGAGCTAGACTTCTACCTCAATGGGATGTTGATAATTGTGACAGCCAGGGGCGCTGTAGTACACGATTAGTGTTCTCTTTCAGCGTTACCAAATTTATTTGTTAAAGTAATTCAGGATGGTGTTAACATATAGTAGTTTCTAAATTACTATAGAAATTTTGGGTAGAAAATTGGATTATTCTCTATATTCCCAAACTACACGTTCTAGCGACAAGAATGGAATATTCGCAGTCATGAAAGTAGGGAGCATCAGGGGCCTGAATGATACAGTACAGTGGTTAGGATGCTTGCCTTGCATGCGTCCACCAAAGTCTGATCTCTGGCATCCCTCAGGTCCCCTGAGCCTTCCAGGAGTGATCCATGCATGCAAAGTTAGGAGTAAGGCCTGAGGAGAAAGCTCTGAGTAGCACTGATATGGCCACCCTCATAAAACAAACAAGAGTGTAGGGAACATCAATAAGTCTAGGGTGCTTCTATCAAGCTGGTGCATATGTCTTCTACTCTGACTTCTGACTTCTAAATGGAAGATCTTTAGGCTATTGAAACATTTAACAGAGGTCATACATCTCCCTGGAATTCACACAGGATGGAGTTTCATTTCTTATCCAGGAAAACAAGATAGAAAACTAAAGCAAGCAACAAGTACACACCTGCCTCTGCATCTGCAGAGGTGGGGACAGCAGAGGGATTAAAACAATGAGGGGCTGGAGCAATAGCACAGCGGATAGGGCATTTGCTTTGTATGCAGTCGGCCCGGGTACGATTCCCAGCATCCCATAGGGTCCCCTGAGCACCGCCAGGGGTAATTATTGAGTGCAGAGCCAGGAGTAATACCTGTGCATTGCCGGGTGTGACCCAAAAAGAAGGAAAAAAATGAAACATGACATATTTAAGGGTGGATATCAGCTAAATGACACCATTCGATATGATCTGGCATGGTTTGTAGTTCAAGAAAACTATATGGGCCAAGTCTTGATCTGCAGCATTTATACCAAAACCTGTTTGCAGAAGGATCTCCTTGAGACCTCAACAGAGACCAACATTAGCTGGTTATTGTTATTCAACCAACTGCTGACACTGAAGGTCAGGACCTGTATTCTATTGAGAATCCAGCTGAATTGCCTGAGATACTAGATATCTACAGTAAAGGCGGATGCTTGTTCCAGAGTGACACATCATCACCAGTAAAGGAGGTACCAAAGATCATCTTACAAGTCACTTAGAAAAAAATCATCACTGCTCAAAAATGTGCTTTTCTACAAAGGCTTCATGCTTTTCTACAAAGGGTCCATCCAATTACACCACTTGGACTCAAAGGGTGCCATTTTCAGTACAGTACTAGGTATTAGGCTGTTGCTAACGTCATGGTATGTCCAAAGTTCATCGTAATCATCTCGACTTCACTGGAGATAAATAAAGACAAGTAAATCATGATCCTACTAGCCAAGATTAAGTTAGTCTTCACTAGGAATTGCGGATCTGGAGTAAAGTCACTAAGTAAAAGGCCCATAATGTTCTGAGGTAACCCTAGCCACAGTGTAAATCTGTCCTGTGCATTATGACCATCCTGATCATTTGTGGGAGCATTCTTTGAGGGTGACTGACAACACAGAACTTTGTGAAGCATGTCTTCTATCCCCATTTGAAATTGATTTTTCTCTGTTCCTCTTAACTCTGAAATCACAAAACAACAAACAGAACATCTTTTCTTAACTTACTTGCCACAGAATAAGTACTACTTTGTGCTTGACTTATGCCAACAGATGTGAATTCAAAAGAACATGGCTCCTGCCTAGCTAACCTAATCCATAAACATAATGCAGAAATATACTTGAGAAAGGATTACCAATCTCTTGTATTGGTTAAATGATATAAACTCCAGGTTCATTGATATTAAAGGAGTTACCTTTTTTCTTTTTTTTTTCCTTTTTGTGCCACACCTGGAGATGCACAGGGGTTATTCCTGGCTCTGCACTCAAGAATTACTCCTGGCGGTGCTCAGGGGACCATATGGGATGCTGGAAATCGAACCCGGGTCGGCTGCGTGCAAGGCAAACTCCCTACCCGCTGGACTATCATTCCAGCTCCTAAAGGAGTTACTTTTAATGTTTTCTAAGGTGGATGATATTGTTTCCTCTGAGTGGTGGGGAGTGGTGTCCCCAATCCAGGGGACCATAGTTGCCTTCTGCATTTGAGGAGGGGATGCTTTCTTTTTGTTCACTCAAAGAAGGTAGATTTCAGTGTGGGTGATATGAGGGAGGCTGCCTTTTCTTTCTTTCTTTCTTTCTTTCTTTCTTTCTTTCTTTCTGTCTTTCTTTCTTTCTTTCTTTCTTTCTTTCTTTCTTTCTTTCTTTCTTTCTTCTTTTTCTGAAGTGGGAGCAGAATCCAAACAACTTTTGGAATCTCTGCTGTAAGTGAATGTGTAGAGTATTTTAGAATGGAGTTGAATTAGAGAAGGCTTTTTGGGGGAGCAGGGGGTGGAGAGGGCACACCCAGAACTGTTTAGTGCTTACTCCTGACTGTTCAGGGATCACTCCTAGAGGGGCTCGAGGGACCATTGGGCTGCTGGGGATTGAACCCAGGTGAGCGGTGAGCTACATGCAATGCAATGACTTTATCCAACGTACTATCACTCTGGCCCCGAATAAGCTTTTTTTTTTTTTTTGCTTTTATTTGTTTAGCTTTTATTTTATAATTTTTTTTCTTTTTGGATCATACCCGGCGATGCACAAGGGTTACTCCTGGTTCTGTGCTCAGGAATTACTCCTGGCGATGCTCGGGGGACCATATGGGATGGTGGGAATTGAACCCGGGTGGACTGCGTGCAGGGCAAACCCTTACCCACTGTGCTACCGTTCCAGCCCTTAGCTTATATTTTTAAGTAAATAGTTTTATTTAGAAAATTATGGAGAGAGAGAGAGAGAGAGAGAGAGAGAGAGAGAGAGAGAGAGAGAGAGAGACTACATAATCCAGCCTGGTATATGGACAGCTCTAGAATGGAAGGTATTGGATTGGAGAAATTTTTAATGATAAATAACTGCTTGATATGAAGGAGGCCTCTTTGCCCCTTGACTGTCTGCAATGTGTAACAGTTGAGTTAGGAAAATTCTGGAATTGCTGGGCTAGAGAGAAGGGCCTGTGTAATCTTTAAAAATCTGGATCCGGCCACAAGTCCATTTATTTTAGGGTTTCCTGCCTCTGCTTATATAATTAAGAGCTCTTCTTCAAATTCTCACTTCCCCTGCCCCCTTGCACTCTTCAAATTACTGCCGAAGCAGCTGGAGCCAGGACAGCTTTCAGGGCTCCCTGAAAGCCCGCCCAGGCAGCTGCCGCTGAAGTGGGAGCCTAGATAGGAATAGTTTTGAATTTGATTGTCTAACTCCTTTCACACTCCCAGAGTATGAGCACTGTTTTCCCCTCCACCAACAGAGTGAAAATGTTTTTGACTCTGTATAGAGAACAGAGAATCGTGAATCTCCACACAATATTTTAAAAGACAGGTCTTACTTCTAAGTCGAGCACATGGAATCCCAGACTGCCACTATTTTTGCTGGACTACCTTCCTTTTCATCGTAATCTTAATTTTTTTTTGACATCAAAGGACACACAAGGAGTTAAATAAAAACTCTGTTCTTAAAAAAAATGGCCCTCTGCCCTGACTGGCAGAGAAAGCCTTTGTTGGGCTGTATAGAAAGTGAGTCACTGGGGCTGGAATGACAGAAGTCCCTAAAGAAGTAAGTAGAGCAGGAATAACCCAGCAAACATATGCAAAGCTCAGCTATCATGACTCACACCACGTGACTACCACCCTCCACTGGTGGCTCTGACTCAGAAATTTGCTAATGTCACCAGCAGTGACTATGACCTCAGTCTTGTCCTCACTGACGGAAACTAACACGAGCACACTGCTGCCTGATAAGTCCCCCTGGAATCTGAGCTACCGCCCAGCCTCGCAAGCTGCGTTTCAACAGGCCTGGTCCCATTTATGGAGACAGAAGCTCATCGCAAGGGCTGAGGAAGTCTCATCCAAGTCTCCGCATCCATTTTCCACCAGGGATCTAAAATGCTTTGGGAGATTCATCGAACCAATAGGAATGATGAGCTCATTTTTATTTATTAAAGGCATCTATGTATCTGCCAGACAGAGCACATAATTAGGAGGCGATCCGAGTCACCACATAAAGGCAGATGAACCTGTTACTCTAATAAGCCCAGGAGGATTAAAGGTAAAGAATAAGTGTTAGGTTTCGGTCCGCCCTTCACGCCCTACCGAGGCCACCAGTTGCCCCCACGAGCGGCTCTCCAGCACGGCCACAGCCCCAGAAGCACAATGACCTAATGCAGAACCCAGCAGCTTGGAGCAGAAAAGTGAAAGGACTATGCGTTAATCCAGGCAATCATTTCTGCCCAGAGGGGAAAGGGTGTTGCTCCCTTCCGCCCTCCTCCCTCTGGAAAGAAAGATGGCGGCCACATGGGAGCCTTGTGGACAGCAGGTATGAGCCGGGGGAGTGGGGGCGACTAAAACCTCATGGGTCGGGGGGCGTTCCGGTCCGTCCTTCACGCCCTACCGAGGTCACCAGTTGCCCCCCCCCCCCATGAGCGGCTCTCCAGCACGGCCATGACTCCAGAGCACAGAAACCAATTTCTTAACTATCTGACTTTCAGTAGAAATACTTCCAGGGTCAATAGGTAAAATAGCAGAAATCCAAAACCAACATTTAATTCTTGAACCCAGCTGTAGAAAGCAAATCACTTCACAATGCTTTTTCAGCATGTCTGATTTGGGGGGGGGGGGGTAAAGTCTAAATAATAGTGGTGAATCTTTTATTGAAACAATGAATCTAATCAAAGCAGATAGAGTGTTAACTAGAATTCATCTGCCTCACAGGGACGGGGAGGGGTGGGGGGTGGGGTTTTATTGGGGTTCTTCATGGTAAAAAATAAGTATTGGTAAAGGGAAATGTGTTTGATATTTGCATGACTGAGACATAAACCTGAAAGCTTTGTAACCTTTCCCACAGTGATTCAATAAATAAATAAATAAATAAATAAAAGAATAAGTGTTAGGGATCAGGGAGGTCACTCAAATACCCTTTAGGCTCTGCACACGGGAGATCCGGGTTTGCTCTCCAGCACTGCATGGTCCCCTAAGCACCTCAGAGACAACCACCGTGCAGCTAGTAGGCCCTGAGCACCACCAGTGGTTAAGAGACAAACAAGAAAAAAAGTCTTGTGAAAGTCCTGTGGACCTTTTGAAATAAACAAGCTGCTCTGGATCCATTATCACCTCTATGGACTTCTAGCTCCATGTTTGAGCTAGCCTCAGGTACTAGGGAGAGGTAGAAAAATCAGCAGAATAACGGGTGTGCTGAATGATGCTTTAGAGGGAGGCACTAAGGAAGATCAATGCTCTGCTCCCAATGCCAGAGAGACAGGGTGGCTAGAAAGAGTTGAAACTGAAAGAAGAGAAAGATGCCTCAGTAGTGATAAGGAAGAGAAAAGGAGTTTTCAGTGGGAATTGGGTATCAATTAGTCCATGGTTCAGTTCGAAAAGTTAGCACACTAGAATGTGACAAATGGGCATGACAAATTCAAGTAACTGGTTTCTGGGGACACTTAAGCTCTGTTTTAAGGGGTAGGTGACCCAGCAGCAAAATAAGGCAATTAGAGCTCTAATAGCTGTATTGCATGCTCTTATACACACGAACACACACACACACACACACACACACACACACGGGCGCAGGCACACATGCACTACACATCCTCCTATAAATCATCAAAGTCTGTAATTTTGCTCTAAACTTGGTCTTTTTTAGCCCTAGGACTATAGACATTTTGGAATGATTAATTTTTTGTTATTCCTTATTGTGGGACACTGCTATCATATGAATTGTAGTATGTTCAGCAGCATCTCTGGGACCAACAGGATTATTTTCTGGTTTGTCAAAAAATATAGCTTAGTTATTGCCAAGTATCCCTTGGGGAGCAAATATAACCAGAATTCTCTTAAACTTCACCATTTTCTGAAGAGATAAAAGTCTCTTTGGGCTCAAATTTCGCATTCATACAAGTAACAAGCTATAAATCCAAGCATCGATAAATCCATTTGGTCTTTGGAAACCAAAACAATCAAACAAAACACTCCCCCCCCAAAAAAAATAAACTACAAAAACCATTTTTACTCCATTTTTCACTTTTGAATATTCTGTCCTGGATAACATAAAATCTAAGCTATAGAGGAAATGAATAATAGAGAACTGAGAGAATTGATTCCTAGTCCTGTTCTGCCACTAGCGAGGCTGTCATCTTGGGTAGATTGCTTTATATCTCTGATCCTTTCTTGTTATTTTTCATTGGTAAATAAAATGCCTGGCAAAATTTCCAATTCTAAATACAAAAGATACGAGGCTCAGAATTTAATATGCCACCAGGGTCGAAATCACGAGCTAGGAAAAGAAAGCTCTTTGTCCTGAAGTAAAATGATATGTTAAGTCTCCTGGAGTGTTTTTCTCTAATTCCTTAAGCACCAAAGACATGAATCTACAATCTGATTCTCTCAAAAGTCCAGACAACCCTTTGGTGTAGTAAATAAGTGGCTGGAAAATTATTAGCTAACCTCTAGGAGTGGCTTCTGTGCTAAACATCAATGAAATGGGCCGGAGAGATCACTATGGTAAGCAGGGAAGATTTCTCCCATTACTCAAACTGTGACTGGAAACCTGGGACTTGAAGTGAGAGGATAGCAACTCACCCGACATCAAAATCCCATACTACACATAGGAGACAAAAATCCTCAGGTAAACTCGGTAGATCTCGATTCTTACAACTTTATTTGCGAATTTATATATGGCGGTGTGTTCAAAGCCATGGAAAAAATGAAGCAACGTCTTTGATTACCTTGGTAAACACAGGAGCTGCTATAATAGGTTTCCCGTCCAAGCCTTGCAAATAGTTGGTAGGGCTCTGACACTGAAAAGGGAACCAACAACAGATTCATTGTAGCTAAAGTTACTAGACAAAAGATCACAGTCTGCAAACCCCTGGATTAGGACTGAAATGTCACCACTGCACTAGTGAGTGGGTTAGATCAGTAACCATTTAAATCTTATGGAAGAGGCTGCAAGCTAATATACTTTAATCTACTTATCAAAATATTGGTAGATTTACCTATAAATAAGTATATGTTTTTCAACTGTCACTGTCCTCCCGTTGTTCATCAATTTCCTCCAGCGGGCCCAGTAACTTCTCCATTGTGACCATTGTTACTGTGTTTGGCATATTGAATACTTTAAGTGTTTTTGCATGCATATTTATCTATATATGCATGAAAATGCCCAGAACTATCTGCAACAAACTATTAAAAGGAAGTTCCTCTGAGTCATGTGAACACAGTAGAATGTTGCCTGACTCTTGAACTTAATACACATCTGTACTTTCAAATATTTTATAAGTATGCATTGTGCTACTACTATTATTGTTCACTTGGAAGAGTCTTTCATACTTTTTAAAATTATTCATAATGATTCTGTCTTAGGAAGTAGAGTTCTTTGCAGCACTGCAAAACTGTTTCAAGATCGGCAAAATTTGTCCTGGGTCTACCAGCTGGCAACTCATGATATAGGTAATCATAAGGTTGGGCCATCGGGGGCTAATTTGTGAAGAGTTTCTTCCCCAAGGGATAGGAACACTGACATCATGTGTCAGAAGTATATAGTGTCTGTCACAGTCAGGTAAGAATTTCGCCCAAGAGAGGAAGGGCAGCCATGTCCTGTGAGAGAGCCTGGGGGTTACTGTGGTCATCTCTCACAATCCCTGGGACTTGAGTTTCACTTAGAGTCATGTACCTGCTGGAGGGTTGTCACCCTGGGCCGGACCTCCATGTGCTGGGTGGGGGGTACTGCTGAAGAAATGGCTGCAGAGACAGTGGGAGAGGCTGCCGCCGCTTTTGGCTTCTGGATTCTGAGGAGGGATTGAAACACAGATTGTCAAGCATATCCCTCATGAGGTAAATTCTTTCAGCACAGCTAGTTATATCTTGCTCACTTACATTTAGTTATAATAATAATACTCAGCGGTCCAGCTACACTCTACACACATACTGTCACACTGTCCTCCCGTTGTTCATCGATTTGCTCGAGCAGGCCCAGTAACATCTCCATTTTTTTGAGACTTGCTGTTACTGTGTTTGGCATATCGAATACATCACGGGTAGCTTGCCAGGCTTTGCCATGCGGGCAAGATACTGTCGGTAGCTTGCCGGGCTCTCCGAGAGGGGCGTAGGAATCGAACCCGGCTCGACCAGGCTGGCTACCGCTGTGCTATTGCTCCAGCCCACTCTACGCACATACTGAGGGCTATTTTATTGCACTGTTTTATGGCATGTATGGCAGTATCATCGGGAATATCATCAGGAAAGTGATAACGGCTTTTCCTGTTCTTGGGCTGGTTGATCTGAGTGTATCTGGCATGTCAAGCACACCCACAACCGAGAGTCAAGACAAGCGCTATAATAAAGTATGTGCGGAAGAGCTCTGTAGGGCACCCTCTGAATTTCCCCTCTCCCATCCCATTTTAAGGAAGAAGCCAAACTTTGTAAAGATTTGCTCCTGGGATTTTTGTCAGGCAGAAATCAGATACAGCCTGAGTTAATGAGTTCTTTGAGTTTTCACAAATTAAAGAGATTATATGAAGAGCAAAAGAATCAAGAATATATGTGCTTGAGAAACCTGAGGAGGGTAAATTCTTTCAGTTGTAGAGAAGAAACAGGTCTATGAATTTTGCCACATAAGAAGAAGTTGGGTCCTCTAGTTCAATGGGTCCTACTCTTGCTAAAGATAATGGGACCCAAACACAACCAAAGGCAGGATGGGCTACCCTTTTGTTTAGGGATGAATGTTTTCTCTCACTCTCAACTTTCTCAACTCTAAATTGGGGACATAAGTTTTTACCTCATAAAGTATTTTTGTGTTAAATGAGATCATTTATGTAAGATCATTTATGTAAGATGCTTAGAGAGGTGCTCATTATTTCTCTATTCTCAGTTCATGGGACAAGTAAAAGGATACCCAATAATGGCAGACTGAATTTCCCCCCAACCAGACAGATTAAGTCTCAGAAACAGAATTACGTGCTAACATAAACATGACGATTTTTTTCCTTTACAATGACAAAACCCCTGATTCCTTCCTTCCTTTTTTCCTTCCTCTGCCTCCGTGCTCAGGGATCACTTTTGGTGGTGCTTAGGGGACCATAAGTGTTGGAGATTGAACTGGGATTGGCCGCATAACAAGGCAAGCCCTTTAACCCCTGTACTTCTCTCCAGCCCCACAAAACCCTGCTTTCTTTACACAACTACTCCAAATAACATCTACATTTCCCAGTCTTTACTGAAGCTAGATGTGTCCAGTGGCTACCTAGGCATGGAATTAGAGGAGTACTGATGCACTGGTATACACAATTTAGAAAGGGATGACCTCCAAAGCAGTCCAGGACAGGCTTGTTACTCCTTCTCATTGTAGACTAAGAAGACAAGGTCACATCTAGAATGACACGTAGCAGTAGATGGAAGCAGACTGGAACCCAGTGGAATGTGAAGCCATTTTACCAGCCACATTGATATTTTTTATGATACTGTAATGCAAACATTATTTTATTTAAATGGTAGTTATTTTGGGTTCTCTATTGGACACAACTGAAGCTAAACATATCACAGATTTGAGGAAAACAAATACATGAGATATTTCTTGCGTATTAAGTTAATAAACACAAATTTATACCCATTAGGTTTGATGTCCAATTATGAGAATTTTGGCTAAGGAGTCATGAGTGTTCTAAAGAGTTTTGGTTGACTGAATAAGGTTTAGTACATTGTGTTTAAAAAAATTTGGGGGGGGGGAGGGAACCACACAAGCAGTGCTCAGGCCTTACTCCTGCCTCTGTATTCAGGATCATTCCTGTTGGCCTCAGGGAACAATATTTGGTGCTGGGGAACAAACCTGGGTCCCCTGCATGCAAGGCAAGTATCTTATCTGCACTTATATTTCTCAGATCCCTCTAAATTTTCTTATCTGCACAAAAACTAAAAGCAAATTATTGTTGCAAAATAGGCTTACAGAAAACCCCCTGAGAATCAGTTCTGCCCTTAAGGAATAGAATGTACCAAGGACTGAGGTAGATAGACATTAGAGGCTTTGTTCGTAGGTGTGGCAACAAACACTTAAAAGAGATGTGAAATTCACTCCTAAAACATTTCCTTCTTCCTTCCTTCCTTCCTTCCTTCCTTCCTTCCTTCCTTCCTTCCTTCCTTCCCCTTCCTTCCTTCCTTCCTTCCTTCCTTCCTTCCTTCCTTCCTTCCTTCCTTCTTTCTTTCTCTCTTCCTTCCTTTCCCTTCTTCCATCCATCTTTCTTTCTTTCTTTCTTTCTTTCTTTCTTTCTTTCTTTCTTTCTTTCTTTCTTTCTTTCTTTCTCTCTCTGTTCCTTCCTTTCCCTTCTTCCATCCATCTTCTTTTCTTCCTTCCTTCCTTCCTTCCTTCCTTCCTTCCTTCCTTCCTTCCTTCCTTTCCTTCCTTCCTTCCTTCTTTCCTTCTTTCCTTCTTTCCTTCCTTCGTCACACCCAGCAATGCACTGGGGTTATTCCTGGCGCTGACTCAGGAATTATTTCTGACGATGCTCGGGGACCATATGGGATACTGGGAATCAAACCTGGGTAGGCTTCAGGCAAGGTAAACACCCTACCTGTTGTACCATTGCTATGGCCCTCCCCTCTTTATTTCTAAATAAGTTTTATTGAAAACTTTCTTGTTTCACAACTCAAGAAAAATATACACAGCAGGTCATTATGTGAACACAATCAACAACTCCAAAATACTGCCTTCCAAATACTAGTGTTTGTTTCAGATACTCTCAAAAGATGTCTGCTGTAATTATTCCAGTTCAAATGCCTCTGCCCATAGCCTCCTCTGCCTGAAATGCCCTTGTCTTCTCTCTGTGGGGTGTCTATTCACTGTGCATTTTAGACTCAGCTCAAAGACCACCCACCAACCCTGATCTCTCTCCATCCCAAACCCAAAGTTACTTCTAGCAAGTTCCATAGACCTTGCACATGCTTATATCACTTTATCTCTCTTATCGACTAGGTATATATCTTGTTGTATTTGCAATGTATTTCCTTTACTGGGCTACGGAACTCTTGAAGGTCAGAAGCATCTAATTTTTCTTTGTACTTCAGTCTAATTTGTTTAGTTAAAAGTTTGTGACTTGCTCAGATCATTCAAATGTATAATCTAGTATGACTAGGCTTTATATTCTTGCAAACATAGAAAACATGAATTTTTTAAAAACCACTGGCTTATTTGTTTTTATTCCACATAAATATGATATTTCATTGTTGATGACTCATTTAAACATATTAAGAGATAGTACAGGAGATAAGGCATTCGCCTTGTGTGCAGCTTTCCTGGGTTTAATCCCTGGCACCATATATAGTCTCCTGAACCCCTCAATCACTCCTGAGCACTGAGCTAGGATAATCCCTTGAGCTCTGCCAGGTATGGTCCTCAAAGCCCCCAAAATAGCATAAAATTTTGAGAATATTAATATTAACTTACTAGTAAAGACCCAAACAAAGTAAGTAGAATTTTCTGTTGTCTTCCCACTTCATTTATCTTTTGAGGTTATAACCTGTCACTCTCTTTAAGTCTAATCAACACAATAATAGCTTTCTTCAGGATCTGAGACTGCTAAGAATATGAAATAGCAAACAAAATTACCGGTTCATTTCTTCCTTGTTAGGGTCCCCTTCTGAGTCAGAGGAAGAAACTCCTAGAAAACAAGAAGAAGGGAAGAAATTTTTAAGATGACAATTCCTTTCACTGGTTCCTCACCATGTGAAAAACCATAGACTTCACACTTAGATAAAACCCTCAGTTTTCCCATACATGAGCACTGAATTTTGCAATTGAAGAGAGAGACTCTAAGTGGTTGAAGGGGCTTCCCAAGGTCACATGGCTCTTGGGATACTGTTAGAATTAACTGGTTCAAACTCTAAGTGTTCTTATATGTGCAAAAAAATAAAACTGCTGATGCCTTTGGACTAATATAATAACAGAGCTGAACCAACATTGCCGACATGCTGTGGTATTCTTAGACCCTTTTGACCTTGTCCTACACAGATTAAATTAAAAAAAAAAGGATTATAGTGAATTCCAAACATTGCAACTGTAGGTGGATGTTCTTCCGTCCAGTCCTAATATTAACAAGTCCCAACTGCATTTTGGGAGTGGGGGTGTTTGAAGCTCTGTTGCTGCAAAGGAAAAATAAATCAACAATTCAATCTCAGCCCTGTTAATACGGTTTTGATCCTGGACTTACTTCTCAAGATAGCGAATTACAGGAAGATATAATAGAACTGAAATCTGGAGGCATCTATTATACTTCGGTACTTTGAAGATAAAACCACATTATTTCCATTCATATATTTCTGCAGTAAATGTCTATCAAAATCCTCCCATGTTCTTGGCATCATCTCAAGTGTTTGATGTATAAGGAAGAGTTAGTCAGTCTTTGCCTTAGAGACTAATTGGTAAATGGGCATTTATGTCATAATATTTAATATTTAAGTGTTAAAACTAAGGCATACATAAAGTGTTATCGATGATAAAAGTGCTAAAGAGTGGTTCCCAGGAAAACCACAGAGGACAAGTCAATAGGAAGACAGAATTAGGAATATACATTGATTTCTTCCCTAAAATTTGTCAGATACTTTGGTGCCGATGTAAATGCCTACTTAAGGTTTCCCGTTGGTCTCCCTGCTTCTCCCCTTGCCCCTCTGCAGTCTACCCTCAAGCAGGATCCAGGGTGGCCCTGTGAAAAACGAAGGCATACTATGTTTTATCTCTGCTCAGACTCCCTAGATCTCCCCTAAAAGTAAAACTCCAAGAACTGCAATGGTTAATAAAGACTGTATAATCTCCAGGCCGGCTTGGAAGAGCCCCGTGGTTCTCCCTCTTGCTGCCTGTGTTCGGTGGACTCGGGCGCTCCCCCAGCTGGGGTGGCCCAGCAGTGGGGTGGATGAAGGAGGAAACGAGGGCCAGGCTGGTTGGTGTTCTGCACTGCACTGCAGATCACTGCAAATCACTGCATTGAACACTGTCCTCCCGTTGTTCACTGATGTGCTTGAGTGGGCCCAGTAACGTCTCCATTATGACAATTGTTACTGTGTTTAGCATATCGAATTCATCACAGGGAGCTTGCCAGGCTTTGCCGTGCGGGCGAGATACTCTCGGTAGCTTGCTGGGCTCTCGGAGAGGGGCGGAGGAATCGAACCCAGGTCGACCAAGTTGGCCGGCCGTGTGCAAGGCAAACGCCCTACCCGCTGTGCTATTGCTCCCCTGGTTGGTGATCAGTTGCCGTTTATTCCATTCTCCCCACATGCCTGTTCAGTCTCACTAAGCACCCCCATCCTCGTCTCACACTGGCCCTCATTCCCGTCTCCCCCTGTCTCTCCTGCTCATCTCCGGCTCCATCTCACAGCCTCGTCTCTTGGCTCTCCACAAGCCAGTTTCTGGATTCTTCTACTTTCTTCTCTCTCTGTAGCCCCCTTGCTAGTCTCCCCCCTCTCCATCTGCTGCCCCGGTCTCTCTCTCTCTCTCTCTCTCTCTCTCTCTCTCTCTCTCTCTCTCTCTCTCTCTCCTCTTTCCAACTCCCTGTATAGGGGGTAGTCACCACACCCCAGGTAGCAAAAGCAACATAAGAAAACCCTTCCTTTGCTCACTCAAAATACCACTTAGGGTGTTTTTCTCCTTTCCTTCGTCCAATAACTTAATTAACATCTTAATTCTACTTCTTAATATAAGTTATTTTGTATGGACATAGTAAGAGATACATTGAGGCTTGTAGGGTGGCTCTCCTGGGGACATTTTGCCACAGACAAGTGCTCAGTGCTCAGATCAGATGAATCATTCCTAACCCTAGCAGGAATTTAGTTATTGCTTTTTGGATCATGACAGCCTTTGTCTATGACCATGCTCTTAACTTATAATTAAGCATTTTGGCACTTTGGCCAAGCCCATTTTAATGCCAGGGTAGCACATAGGTCACAGCTTTCCCTGGGTCCATCCAATCCCTGCTTTTGGGGTACTAGGAAGTAAGGGCAACTGAGGTTAAAGTCGAGAGAACAGTTGCCCGGAGGTAATATTATCTGGAGTCAATGAACTCTCATGTTACAAAAGCATAGCATTTACTGTCTTCTTGTGCCCATACAAAAAGGATATTGCTCCAAATTAACTATCAAAGGACTTAAGGAGAAGAGAAAAACAATATTTACAAGTCAACAGAGCACAAAGAAAGAGGTCACAAGTAAACACAGAGGAAGGGGAGCACTGTAATGGGAGTAACTCAGTAAACTTAAGCTTCCTGTGGCAAAGTGGAAAGGACAAACCAACGTTATCCTACAAAAGACTCACCTAAGCTGCTCACTTGCATTCTCACCCCATCTCAAACCTTTACCTTTACCTGTCACTTATTCCCTTGTTTACTACACTCTGGCTATATCGGGGCTCACCTCCATACCTGAGTGCGCGCACACACACACACACACACACACATGCGCACACACCCCTCTCACCATGCATACACATACACATATACATATGCCTACTCCTATTTCTTTTTCTTGCTTTCTGTTTCTACCATAATGATCATATATCCCTATTACAGTCTACATCTTATTTATTTTATTTATATTCTATCCTATCTCTTCCATTACTATGTAAATTCTAGGAGCTCAGGGACCTTTTTTTCTATTTATTTCATTGCCACATGCTCACTGTCTAGAAAGTATGGAAGTGTTCTCTAAACAAATATTTACCATGAGTTCATATTTATCAATGAATGCCAGACTCCTAATGTGTTTTTGCTTTACCTTCTATATAAATTTCAGCAGAAGTTGAATCTGTCCCATAGATGTTTGAAGCAAAGCAGGAATAGCGTCCCGTGTCCTCTTCAAAGGCTTCAGCAATGGTCAGTGAGTGGAGATTTCCTGCCTGGATGATGTGAATGTCTGGAGAATTTTCAAGTTCCTTACCTTCACAATACCACCTACAAGGAAGGGAATGTTGGACATAATTGAAATGCGAGAATTAATAAACGATTGGCTTCAGATGTTTCCTAAGAAAACTCTAATAAAGTTAGAGTAAAACCAGTAATCAATCCATTGTTAAATGGCAGTGATTAATAATCACAAGAAGAACTGACAGTATTCAAATCACATGGACACTTTACTAGGGAAATTAGAAAGTGGCAAGAATGATACAACTGAGAAATGATGATTGAGAAAGCAAATGCATTTCACCTAGAGGATCAAGGGATTTGATACAGGCCATGGCTCCTCCTAAGAAAACTTAGAGTTTTTTAATAGAATGCATTCTATGTGCTACATACTCCTGAAGAGAAACTGAAGAGTAAACTAAGGTTTGTGAAGCTGAGTGCACTGATTCCTACTATGAAATTGCATCTGACATAGCTAAATGAAATGTATTTGCTTAGTTATAAAGTCTTCAAAGTAAGGAAAATAGATCTTATTCCTCCAGGAGCGGACCAATCCTGACAAATAAGCTGTCAATGCAAGTCTTTCTTGGTTTGCAGTGGGTTATATAAATGCACTGTAGCTTAAAAATATTCTAATTCAAAAACGCATTTAATACATGAAGTGTCGTAACTTAGCCTAACCTCTCTTAAGCATGCTCAGCACATTTACATTAACCTAAATTGGGCAAAATAATCTAACACAAAGCCCATTTTCAAATTACGCAAGGAATATCTTACACAATTTATTGACCAATATAGTACAAATGAAAACAGAATTGTTGCATGCGTTTGCACCATTAATGTACACAGTTGAAAATACACTGGGCTTCAGGCCAGAGAGATAGTTCAGAGAGTAAGGTGCTTGCTTTGCATGCAGCTGACCTGGTCCTCAGGTTGCAGGCGAGATACTCTTGGTAGCTTGCTGGGCTCTCAGAGAGGGGCGGAGGAATCGAACCCAGGTCGACCAAGTTGGCCGGCCGTGTGCAAGGCAAACGCCCTACCCGCTGTGCTATTGCTCCCCTGGTTGGTGATCAGTTGCCGTTTATTCCATTCTCCCCACATGCCTGTTCCAGTCTCACTAAGCCCCCCCATCCTCGTCTCACACTGGCCCTCATTCCCGTCTCCCCCTGTCTCTCCTGCTCATCTCCGGCTCCATCTCACAGCCTCGTCTCTTGGCTCTCCACGAGCCAGTTTCTGGATTCTTCTACATTCTTCTCTCTCTGTATCCCCCTTGCTAGTCTCCCCCCCCTCCATCTTGCTGTCCCGGTCTCTCTCTCTCTCTCTCTCTCTCTCTCTCTCTCTCTCTCTCTCTCCTCTCTCCAACTCCCTGTAAGAGGGTAGTCACCACACCCCAGGTAGCAAAAGCAACATAAGAAAACCCTTCCTTTGCTCACTCAAAATACCACTTAGGGTGTTTTTCTCCTTTCCTTCGTCCAATAACTTAATTAACATCTTAATTCTACTTCTTAATATAAGTTATTTTGTATGGACATAGTAAGAGATACTATGTAAGAGTAAGAGATACGACAATATATACATAGTAAGAGACACTATACTCGCCCGCAACCCATGTGGTTCCCTGAGCACCACCAGGCATAATTCTTGAGTGCAGAGCCAGGAGTAACCCCTGATCACCATCAGGTGCACCCCCAAAATAAACAAAACAAGAAAATACATTAGGACTCAAGAATGTTTGAAGCATCTTTCCAGGCTTAATAAGTAAAATACCAGAAATCCAAAATCACGTGGCCGCACGACATCATTTGATTCTTGTGACCAGCTGCAGAAAACAAATTATTTCACAATGCCTTTTCAGCATGTCTGATTTGGGGGTGTAAACTCTAAATAATAAGGGTGCATCTTTTGTTGAAACAATGAATCTAGTCAAAGTAGATAGAGTGTTAACTAGAATTCATCTGCCTCACAGGCATTGGGAGGGTTGGGAGGGGGTGTTTATTGGGGTTCTTCGTGGTGAAAAATAAGTATTGATAAAGGGAAATGTGTTTGATATTTGCATGACCGAGACTTAAACCTGAAAGCTTTGTAACTTTTCCCACAGTGATTCAATGAATAAATAAAAAAAAAGAAAAAAAGAATGTTTGAAGCATCTAACTATTGAACTGAATAAATTAACTGAAGGTTGGTGGGGATGCTACAGCGAGAATCATCAATTTCCTGCTCTGCTGTTGAGGCTTGAGAAGAGGGGCTTGAATGATATTTGCCCTCTTAATTGCATGGCTAATTAAGATATAGCAGCAGCTATATCTTACTGAAGCTACTGAGCATCACAGAAGAGCACCATCCTGAATACTGCTGTTACCTCACAAAGAGATCAAATTTCAGAGTCTGAGTATGCTTTCTACTAAAGGCTTTCACACTGCGGAAATACAGAGAAACCTTAAGTCTGCCCATTATTAGTTGGGCATTGTCTTTTTATAGGTTTTATATAAAATACCATAGTATTTTATTTTAATTCTGTCTACTGCATGTTGTTTCATAGTTTTGATATACTTTTATTTCACCTAAAGTTTACATAAACAATGGTAAAGTGTGGAGGTGCATCAGAAGAAAAAAAGGCAGAGGCCAGAGAGCTAGCACAGTGGGTAGGGCACTTGCCTAACTCATGGCCCTGGCACCCCATGTGGTCCCCTGGGATTGCCAGGAGTGATTTCTGAGTGCAGAGCCAAGAGTAAGCCCTGAGCACCCCAAGGTGTGGCCCCCAAACAAAAACAAACCCGTAATCCCTCCAAACCCCAAATAAATAAAATGTAAGAAAATAAAGTGTTTTGAAAAGAAGAAAATATATGAACACAAGAAAACACTATTTCTCGTAAAATAGATGGGCAAAAAAAATTAAATTTGACTATCGTATACTGCTAAAAGGAATATAAGATGAAACAACTCCCAGTTATGGGAATTTAACATACAGCTGTATTTACATACATACAAAATGACAAGTATGCAGAGTACTCATTTAATCTGAACGTGCCCTATCTCGTCTGATCTCAGAAGCTAAGCAGGGTTGGGCCTGGTTAATACTCATTTAAATAGCAAAATATTGAAACCATCCAAATGTTTGTCACTAGGGACTGACGAAATAAACTATGATACAGCCATTTTGTAGAACACTGTACATCTCTACAAAAGAGAATGAGGAAGATTACTTTACGGGGCCGGAGCGATAGCATAGCGGGTAGGGGGTTTGCCTTGCACGCAGCCGACCTGGGTTCGATCCCCAGCATCCCATATGGTCCCCCAAGCACCGCCAGGAGTAATTCCTGAGTGCAGAGCCAGGAATGATCCCTGAGCATCACTGGGTGTGACCCAAAAAGCAAAAAAAAAAAAAAAAAAAAAAAGATTACTTTATACTGATATGAATAGCACAGTGGTAGGGCATTTGCCTTGCGCGCAGCCAGCCCGGCCGAGCCAGGTTCGCTTCCTCTGCCCCTCTCGGACAGCCTGGCAAGCTACTGAGAGTATTCAATATGCCAAACACAGTAACAAGAAGTCTCATAATGGAGACGTTACTGGGCCTGCTCGAGCAAATCGATGAACAACGGGAGGACAGATATGGGGAAAAAATATACAGACATAGTTAAATTTTTAACAGTACAGAGCACATAATGTTAACTTTCATATAAGAAACGTTGTTATTAAGGGTTAATCACCCCTCCTCCAAGATACCTGTATTTGTGATATGACCTTATATGAAAATAGAATATTTGCAGGTATAATCAAGCTGCAATAGTTATTAGGGTGGGCTGATGCAATATAAATGAGATTCTTTTTTTTTCAATTTTGCTTTTTGGGTCACACCTGGCAATGCTCAGGGGTTACTCCTGGCTCTGCACTCAGGAATTACTCCTGGTGGTGCTTGGGGAACCATGTGGCATGTTGGGAATCGAACCCACCCATTGTACTATCTCTTTGGCTCATACATGAGGCTATTTAAGAAGAGGAAACCCCCATGTGAAGACAGACTCAAGGAGCATGAAATGTGGAGATACAGCTGCAAGCTGAGGAATGCTAAAAACTAGACCTCAGAGGCCAGGTAGCAGTCTACCCAGAGTCTCCAAGGAAGCACGGCCCTATGAAGGCACCTGGATTTATGACTTCTAGCCTCCAGGACACTGAGACTGTATAGTTCTGCATTGAGCTCTCAGTTTGTGGTACTTTGTTACAGGAGCTAGTAAACTAATAAAGGGACAAGAAGTAGGACACTTGGTACATGCATTTATACATTTCCAGGAAACTAAAAAGAATAAAATTTAAAAAAATCAGAAAAAATACCCAAAATGAAAACCAAAGGTAGATGAAGAAAACCAAACCAGATGAATGAAGACAGGAATGAGATGTCTTAGTGTACTGATTCTATTTTACTTTATTTGGTTTTAGGGTCACATTCAGTAATGCCCAGGGCTTACCCCTGACTCCGCGCCCTGGGATTATCTCTGGCAGGTCTTGGGGCACTATATGGGGTGACAAGGATTGAACTGGGTTGGCCATGTGCAAGGCAAGTGTCCTCCCTATTGTACTATCTCTCCAGCCCAAGTACACGCACATATCCATATGCAATAGACATATCTATTATTGATTTAACCACTTCCTGACAGTCAAATTCTCTATTGTTCCCTAAGTATGTCCCATCTCCCTTCTGAACACAAGTCTCCACTCATTTTACCGTCTTACCACTCTAATCCCAGCATCTCTAACAGTGTTCAAGGTAGGTATCTGCTTTTCTGAGATTCTATTTTTCCTTTCAGCAACTGTGACTATAATTCATCCACCAAAGTTTGTTTTGGACATCACCTTCTATGCAAAGTATCTTTTATCACCAATTTTCAATGACTGTTTTTGTAACTACTTTTAAAAAAACAAGGGCTATGTCACAGGAGACTTGATCATATCCTGTCTGGTAAATTCTTGGAAGACAGGGACAGTGGCTTTTATGCTTTGATAGTATCCATCATGCCTAGATTAGATTTTATTAGCTTTTATACCATCTTTGAGCA